GGGGCGAGAGAGCCCGCGGGCTTCAGCTCTTTGGGGTTGATTCTTGATTTTGCGGAGCGACTGACCAGCTGTTGAAACGCCAGCTTTGGCTCCGACAAGTCTTCTCCAAAATGTTCACGTGGATCATCCAACACTTCAAATGCAGCTTCTTTTACTGTGGGAGTTTGATAAAACTCGGTGATATCCTTGACGATCTCTCCAGAGTAAAGACTCCGAATGTACCCACGGGAGAAAGATTTTCCCGAAACAATCACGTCATCCGGGGGCTGATACGAGATTCTGAAGGGCAGCTTTGACTCGTGCTCTGCTGCAAGCTGGCGGTAAACACTTTTGATCCAAGCCCATTCCGAAGGAAGATCCTCCGTAAAGTACTGCACATTTTTGTCAGGACTATTGTATAGCGTAGAGTAGACCACAAATTGTTTGAACGCATCCAGTTTTCGGCGAATCCGATCAGGAGTGTCCATGCTTGGACAAAGATCATCAACTTTGAAGCCGTTGAGACGAACGAGAATATGGAGTAGAGGGCGTTGCGTGACTTTTGTATCAATTTCTTTCCACCATCACTAGTGTAGAACAGCTTTTTTTCCTTGTCCACGGCCTCAAAAAGACTGGCTGAGCTGCAGCTGAACAGATCGTACTCACTGTTCATGTAGCGTGACAAGTCGTGCATGTCTCGTTGATGCCTCATGTAAAGGGAGCGCTCCTCTTTTGTCATTTCTTTGACATTGCGACCAGGTACTTCTAGCCGTTGGTGTCCGTCTTCATCAGTATGAACAAGGTATCCATCCACAAAGGCATACCTCTCTGAGAGCTTGACGGTTATCATGGAAGAAGAGGACAAAGTGATGGTAAAACATGTGAGTAACTTTGACAAGTGAGCAAAACGGACCTTTATTTATAGTTTTTCGTAGGAAGCCGTAGAAACGTACGTGGTTTCATAATTTTTTGAGAACCTGAAACTGAATGTCGGTAGTATACTCATAAATAAAAAGCTCTCTTGGTTGTTCTAACGAAGTTGGTTGCACCTCAAAATTCAAATTACCCCATATCATATAGGCGCATGACCTTGTTTTTCCACAAGTTTACCACATTGCGTAATTTAACCGAAAAACTACTGCGCCGGCTTCTCTCCTCCAAAGTTTTAATGCCCGATCAAAAATTGAATTTCAATGGCATGAGCTGAAGTAAAGTCCTGATTATAGAACCCACGTCATGCAAGGGATTGATCAGTACTCAAAATGCTTGTAGTTTGGTAAACCAGTCTTGATGAGACCCCAGAGACATGACAGTTTTTGCAGATCACCAGTAACGACACTGGCACGACCTCACGTGGTAGGAATCACTTATGTGAGCTTCTGTCGCGGGTGATAAGAGTTTAGATAAGGAGCATGTGATGCCTTGAAGTTATCAGCATGTGATCTTATCGGCCTCATGTCAATATCGGCCACGAAGCTATACGAGCTCATATAGGGGAACTATAAATGACACTTTTGCAAAGTCAATGCTACTATACTGCAATTCATGCATCAGCACTATCTTGCTGAAGAAAATAGCCCATAATAGCCGCGTTAGATCTCTGTAGTGGTATCGCACCCAGGAGGAACACTCTTCTTGGAAAAAGCTTACATGATGAAGAATACAACACCTTAGTTAACTTTACTTAGAACTAAAAGAAAGCAGACTTATGAGTGACACAATAGAGTTCTCAATTGATTCTACTTATATGGGATTGAGTTGACAAACAATTGTTTCGGTTTTGTTACTGTCGTGACTAAACTGGTGTGATGCAATCGTTATATGCGCTCATCGCGCATTGGTCACCTATGCTACTGAGTGACGTTTAGTTAGATCTCCATGAAACCGAACCCAAAGGATATGGAAATTGTCCTACTCTGACTTTTTAAAAGAACGCCCAAGTTGTGAAATGCAAATCAACACTGATGGACCAACTTTAAGCCGTTAGCCTTCTTATAAGACCGTGCCAATAATACAAACCGTATAGACTACAGACACTCTGCTTCCCCGCTCTTTTCGCACTTCTTAATTGTGACGTCCGCACGCATCCCTGCCTTCCATGACGGCTACCAACGGCAACGTACTTCCAGAAATATCTCTTCGCATGGTCAATCAAAAATCGGTTTTTGAACCGTTCGAAATCCACGTGACGCGTTGTTTTTTTATTCTGGAACCCTACATTCTATTTCTTCAAATAAGCCCATCGTCGTCCCATCTTCGTCGACCACAGCACCCTTTTGAATCGTCGCCCGATCCCTACAACAAGATCTATAGACTGTGATAACTGATCAAACAACTCCTCAGTACAGGTCCCTTCCTACCTTTTGTGACTCCTGACGAGACACCCGCGAGAATGATGTAAAACGTGAATCAAGGTCGAGAATGCTTCCTCTGAGCCCCCAGGGTGAACATGACAATACTCGGGCGTAGGTGTCATCTCCGATGCGCAAAAACTTCTTCGGCTAGAAACTATATGTGAGAGTGGATTTCAATAAAAGTGGGCCGATGTGTTCTCTGTCTTGACAGACGCACCGAACGCGGCAAATGACGAAAACTCCGGGAAGTTTGCCACGCACGATGAGGCGATCGATTTTGGTATTTTGCATAGTTTCGCTATGCTTGGCACTTTTCCTGGGTGCGCTGGATCTCGTAATCTGCATAACCTTGTATGATACTATTGGGGAAAAGTTCAAAGATTATAGCAATGTGGGGTGGATTATGACCGGTTACAATTTGCCGAATGCACTTTTCATGCTTTTGTGGGGTAGAATGGCATCGCTGCTGGGTCTCAAGAGCAGCTTGGTGATTTCGATAGTGATTTTCGAAGTGGGGTCTCTACTTGCAGCGGTGGCAAACTCGATGGGAATGCTGATAGGAGCAAGAGTGATAGCGGGCTTTGCAGGAAGCGGAATAGAGTCTCTTGTGTTTGCTGTGGGTACTTCAATGGTAGCGGAGAAACACAGGGCCAGAGTCATAACGATTCTTGGAATTGCCTACATGGTCGCAGAAGGCGTGGGCCCTTTTATAGGAGGTGCCTTTGCAGAGCATGTGTCGTGGAGATGGTGTTTTTACGTCAATCTTCCTATCGGAGCGGTAGCTTTGGCCATTCTGTTCTACGGTTTTAATCCGGCCGGTAATATACCGCAATCTGCAATTCGCGTGCTTTGGAGAAAAGCAAAGACTTACAGCTACAGACAAATGTTTCACAGGGAGCTTTTGGTTGAAACTTTTTGTGCTGCTATTTTTCAAGCTCGACATCATGGGTCTAATATTCTCATCCACGGGCTTTGCTCTTATCATGTTGGCCCTCACGTTTGGCGGGAATAAATTTGCCTGGAGTTCAGGGTCAATCATAACAATGTTCGTTGTGGGAATCAGTCTGCTGATACTTTTTTTGATCTATGATTTCTGCTTATTTCCGTGGATAGGAAGACAGGCCCACCAAAGGTCGACCAACCCTTTGATATCCTGGAGTATGGGCTCTAACACAGGCATTTTGACCAGCTCGTTGGCAGGCTTTTTCAACTGTTTTGCTTTTGAGCTGCAATCGATCTTCCTTGTGCAGTATTACCAGCTGGTAGTTAATAAGAAACCAGTGCTTGCCAGTATCCACTTGTGGCAGATGTCAGTTCCGGCTCTGATTTCAGTAATCATAAGCGCTTTCATAAACGAAAAATTTGGTATTGTCAAGCCACTTATTTTGATGGGTAGCAGTTTGGGTTTCATAGGATCCGGACTTCTCACACTAGTTGATAGCAATACTCAGTTGGGAGCATCTATTGGCTACAGTATGTTAGCTGGGGCATCCTTCGGCGTGGTGTACCAATTAAGTTTAGTCAGTTCCCAGTTACAGATAGACCGCAACGACATTGACTATCACACCAAATTCATTGAAGTAACAGCATACAACACGTTCCTCAAGACCTTGGGATTTGCGTTTGCAGGAATTGTCAGCACTACTATCTTTGGAGTCTCTCTCCACAACTTTACCGCAGGATCATCTATTCCCAACTTTGAAAGCACGGAGGGTGTCATCAGTTTTAGGATGCATCATTTTGACGGCAAGAACTCTGAGCTTGGACGGCTGCTGGCAAAGTCTATCCGGAACGTCTTTCTTTTCGCGTTAGGCTGTAGCGCGCTGTCCTTCATATTTTCGCTGTTTACTTCTAATAGACGCACAAAAATGACGGCGGAAAAAGAAAAGGATGCAATTGAAATGGGAGTCAAGGTATGAGACGTGTGCGTGCTTTCCAGAAAGCACATAATGGATTGGCCCACTTTTCATTTCAGATGTTGATTATATTCTATGCGTTTTTACCAGTATTCATGAGGAGGACCTAACCCTGCACAGCTGCGAGTCTCGGCAAGTATTTGATTAAGCTCCTTGGCAGCATTTATCTGTTGCTGCTACTCACGCTCTGCTCTAGAATCTCACACAGATGCATAGTGTTGACGAAAAACGAAACCTACTGCATTGCCACTGGAGTCAACATCATTACTTCAATGCGGTTACTTTGGAATCGCGTTCGAGGAAAGCAATTGACGCATCTTGTTTCACACGGCTCCAGCTTGCGCGAATACCAGCAAGACTACCGCAAAAATCCACTCTCTTTCACCATTTGGCTAGGGTCTTCTCTCAATAATTTGCAAAACGAGTGTGAAGCTGGTTCTTGGAAACTAACGGAGGCAGTATCTTGTGCTGATTTTTGTGCTTATGCTGGGCTCCGCGTTCCAAACATCATTTTCGGGCATAATCCGAGACAAGCACTCAAACCCTACCATCTGCAGATCCCTCTCTGTTGCAACCCACTAAGACGCGTGAGTTTGTGCTAACTAGCTTGATCGCGCTCTTAGGCCTCGGCCATACGGAATGTGAAAACTGAATTTGCTAGCGGGTTACCGTCTGCTTCTTCTTCCAATATCAACGGCTTTATATCTCTGGCGCACCCTGTATAGCTTTCCGTCCAGCAAAAGCTTCATTTTCAGCCAAGACATAAGGTCGGAGCATTGATCGCAATGCCTCTCAAGCCTAGCGTCTCTCAAATACTTCACGACAGTCTTCAGATTCTTCTAGAGGCTTCAAAACTATTCAGGCATCTAGAAAGTTGCACATGGGTTGATCAGAATCGAGAAAAACTGAGTTTCTTACCCAGCGTTCCCCGAAACATGTAACAGATTGTTTTTGGTTAAGGAAATAACACCTCTTGTCTGTCGCCAGTTTTGATGTAGCAAAAAAAAAGTCTATTTACAGAAGACTGAAGCTATCTTGCTCTTATTCTTCTCCACGCTAGTTGCAACTAGAGGACAATCTTCTTTTGGTAGGCCAGTTTCGTCAAATACCCACCCTAATCTCCACTGGCACATTGATAGACCTTTTTGACCACCGTACTATTGAACAAACGGGTAAGGGCCGCAAATAGAATTTGGACTACTTTGTGATTGGTCACAGTACCTCAAGCATTCTTTGATTATAAATCCCTGAGTTGAAGCCGGTGTCAGAGTTTTCGATAAAGTAAGTAACGCTGAACCAATCAGGAAATTCACTACAAAGCTCGTCCAAATGTTTTCTGAAGATGATATCGGATGGGGTCTTGCTTGCATTAGGCAAGTTAGCTCTAGTAGTGTCCCGGGGATATCCAGGATGGCACAAGTGAACCGGATTATGGGAGTAAAACTACTTCCGAGGCTACTAAGAGAGCGATCTTCTGTGTTTGCTTTTCATTTGGAGGTCATGATTAGCTCGGTTGCCGAGATTCTGTCACCTCGTTGCAAATTAATTAGGTGAGATGACTTTTTCCTCTCTGGATATTGCTCTTATTCACCCTCATTGTTCAGGAGCTGGAAGGAGTAAAGGGCCTAAAGTTCCTTCATCTATTCGAAGTGATGAGTTTGAACACGTCAGCTCTGAAAACGAAAATTGGTGAAATCACTCAACTTTGTTTGGAAAATACCTGAGCGATGGCTTATCGTTCAATGTCCAGATAGTGGACGCATATTTCGTCAACTTTTGAGACCCCAACACAGGCAGTTTGTTGAACACTCCAACGCATGTCGTGCACTTCGTTTGCTGGATCTTCTCAAGATCACTGCAATCTCGTTCGGGATTCATGGCCTTGCTGTGGCCGGGCTGCAAACTTGTAGGTAAACATCATTAGACCCAAGAAATTCTCCCTATAGAGGGTAAAACCGAAGCGAGTTTCAAGGGGTTCTTGATTGTAGCTCTCCCATTCCAGTAATGTTCCGCGCTCAGGTGGTGAACTTTTTAATGTTTCAGCGAACTCGTTGAATGATTTGAGTTATTTCTTGAGCTTCCTTTTCTTAGTAGGGCTTGAAGTTCTTGCGTCAATGTCCGCGACATCTGTTGGTAATTTCAACTTATGTTGTTGAAATAGTGATTGACATAGTTCGATGCTTTGCTGACTATGAGCTCTTTTGCTTCCGTATCAAGAATCTTTGATAATGATTAAACTTTCATGTCTGGTCTCAATATGTGAGCAACCCAGTATCCTATCTGTTCATGGGCGAAATTATAGTACTTTTCAAAAAGGTATCTTTTCTCAACGATACTTGACAAAATAATTGACCTTTGAGCTTCCTCCACTGCCTCGAGGTGCTTGAGCTGAATACCTGCAGTTTTTAAACTCTCGTGGGAAACATCACCACTTGAAATTAGTGAGCATGCTTCAAAATACTTGTGAAGCAAAGTGTAAAACTGTATGCCATTGGGGAGATTGTTCAGCGCGTCATCTTGCATATCCATTGTTAATCTGAAAATACACGAGTAAGCTTGAGAAACAATTTCAAGGGATATATCTCTGCTGGTTCTTGAAAGAAAAGTCCGCTATGATCTCTCTTGAGCTGGAACTTTTTATACGTGCAATTCTTAAAGTAGAATTCCCTTAAAGTGTTTGTGAGATTCAAACAGGGAAATAACTGCTTATGGCGGGATACAAACCGCGTTTCATTATGTTTTGGAATTGCTTTTCCAACGTAAAGTTTGAACTAATCACCAAGAAAAACGCTGTACTTGATCTTCGAAGTAAGTTCATCAATCCTTTGGAGGAGCTCAGCATTGTGCTTCTCGAACTTCTCAACGATATGCTTGAATATTATGTTGAGCACATGGTTCAAGCAACGAATTCTAATGACTCCTCATTCCTCATTTGCCCCAACCCCAACTAGCTCGGGCTCAATTTTGTCAAGCATTGCCAAGTTGTTTGTAGCGTTGTCTATCGTAACACTCGCGACTTTATGTTTAAGCGAGTATTGGTCCAAGGTATTACCTAGAACCTGACTCAAATAGTCTCCAGTGTGACGGAAGGCGTTAACGTCATGAAAACCGATGATGTGGGTATTAGGAAAACCTCCGCATACGACGTCCTCTCTTTGAGAGTTTTCATCAAGACGGTCCCAGTTCGGACAAAATGAAACCGAAATAGCGAGATAGCTCTTGCTAGCAGCAGAAGTCCAAATATCCAACAGGATATTTGTTTTCTAAGTCTTCTTAAACGTGAACCTTAACTGTTTTTCGAATCTGTTGTGATAATTCTTGATTTCTTTAACCAGTGCCTTGCGAGAAAAAACGAACTGGTCCTTGTTTCTTCCAGCGGCAACACCAATTACGTCGCGAAAGGACTGACTTTCTACTAAACTGAAGGGTAGCAAATTCTCGACAAATAAATTCAGTTCCTTGATCATTGTTAGATTTCTTTTGCAAAATTCAATAAGGCTTGCGCATAATTGATAAGATTTTCGAGCTTCAGAAACAACGTTCTTCATGCCTGTAAGTTCGTTCTGCTTGGGATGTACTTTTGAGTACAACTTGTCATAGTCCGATCTGTGATTTGTTCTGAGGTGCTTCAACAAATTAGAAGTAATGAAGTTTTTGGTGAAGCGAAACACTTTACGGCACTGATCATATTTGTACTGCGCAAAAGGTTCGCTTCCATTATGTTTCGAGAACCAGATCTTGAATGGAGATGCCGATAGCCATTTCTTAAACCTCTCGGTGATTTCCTTGTCGGAAAGGCCTTTGATCTGATTCATTATTTTCATTGGGTATTTTGCAAGGATTCATAGAATATTCATCGACTTTAATTGAATAGTGATTTGTGAAGAAAGCTTCCACCTGTTTCATCTTTCGCTGTGAAACATCTTGAGAATTTTCCTCAATTGATCGACAACTACAGTCACTTCCAGATGCCTCAGTTGTGGAATAATGATAAAGTTCCTTTGGCTGTAGAGTCGAGTCGTGATGCGCACGGTCATATCTCAGGTTTTCAGCTCGGCATCCGCTAATTTTTCTCAAAATAGAAGGTGAGGGCCTCCTAAAATCGAACCGCTGATGCTGCTGGCGAAAGCTCTCATATGGCTAAGAGTTTGAGTTGTTTTTCAAAGCAATATCACTTGATTCTTCTTTCAATTCGACGGAATCTGCTTGGTTTTCATCAAGGTGCATCTTCATAAGGTCATCGCCAACCGAGCTATCCCCTTCATCATCTCCTGAATTAGCCCTTCTGCCAGCTTCACCTTTTGACGTCAGGGTACAGCTTTGCTATCAATGAGCATTGCCCCGTCTCTCCGTCCAGTGTTTCGTCGTCAATTCCTTAGTAAAGTTCTTGATAACTCACTCTATCCTTTTCTCTGAGGCGGTATCCGGATTTGGGGCTCATTGCAGCGTCCGCTGATCCGCTGAAAAGCTGAGCATGCGTCAAGTACGTCAGGCAAAGTTCTCAAGATCACAATTTTTGCCTCACTTCTGAAAGTTGTACGAAACCTAAAATCATTAAATCTTGTTTTTTATCAAAACAAACTCTACCCGCGGAGGCTATTCGTGAAAATACTTGTCATTATCTAAGCAGTACTTGCGGTGGCTACCCGTACTCGCCCCCGTCCTGAATTAATCTTGCCCTAAAAATAAAAATCTCGAAAATATAAATTGATCATTTTCAAAATGGGAACTAGTGTCAAACATCAACAAATTTCGATCCGATAAAGCCCTTAGGATTAAACCAACGGTTGATGAGAGCAGGCAATAAGAAACCTGGATCATGTATGGTTTGCCGAAAGCGCAAGGTAAAATGCGATCGAACGAAGCCCGTGTGTCAAGCGTGCGTGAAATATAACGCAGCGTCGAAATGCAGTTACGTTTCAACAAAAAAGAACATCAAATTTCTGCATGTTAAGCATGCGGGGTATGACGACCTAAAGGGTTCGAGAACATCCATTTCGAAGTCTGATAAGAAAAGAACAAGCTTTCTCGAATCGAGGCTTTCCTACCGAGAAAGGCAGTGGCCCGAATCAGCCTCTCGAGACTTATTTGGGGCATTGAGTAAATTTGATAGTATGAGCTTCCATGATGATTATGAGGCGATTGAGCTAAAAGGTAAAAGAGTGGCATTTGCGGGACCCCTGCATTATGCGGCTGTCAGCAAGAGAGACCCCTTCTTCAACATCATTGTCACGGAAATGCGCCGGGATTTTGCCCACTTCCGCGATAAGGCTTTGAAAACAGCTCGAAGGAGGGATCGAAAATATGCCTATCCGTTTTACTCTCAAGACGAGATCGTAAGTCATCTACTGGTAAGCAGACACAAATCAGGCGAGCTGCTGGACGTCAAAACTGATGGGGCATTCAATCAAGCGCCATTCGCAACGGCATCAAACCAGCCGGTAAAAGACAGTACAGCTGTTATTGCCGAGCAGCACAGAAGCGGTGTGGATGAAGCCCGCATAGAAAAAAAATTCAGAAGAAGGCTTCTTGAAAATGAGGGCATGGACGATCGTACGCCGGATTCTGACAATGAGCGCTTCAGGCCCAATCTTTTAGAAGTGGTGCATCGATTGACCAAGGAGGCCGAAATGAAGAATACAAGGAAAAATGCTTTGAATGGAGAAAAAGAAGTGCGCAGCGAAAATGAAATGTTGGCGAAGATACACTTGTTGCTTAAGAAATTACAAGAAGGAGAGTTAAAGCAATTTATTGCACCCATGTTACCTGTGCGAACTTTCTCTACTGGAGGGTATGCTATGTCAGATTTGGAAGCGTCTGTTTATGCGAAAATTGAAGATTTGCTACCTCCATCGAAAGACATCTGGGGGCTCGTGGATTATTACTTCAATTCGCCGCTACACGCCCTATTTCCCATACTAACAGAAGATTGGTTTCGTGAAGACCTGTATGATTTAATCGGAAAGCCAAATCAATCGAAAACTTCGCCGGTCATATCAATCAAAACCAGATTTGACTTCTCCAGGCTGGGCTGCATGTTATTGGTTCTTCGTCTATCCTACTTGATGCATCACGAAAGGATCGGGTTGCGCGCAACCGGTGACGAGCTCGTTGGCAACCTGCACCCGATCGGCCCAAAGTTTGCAGAAACTGCTTACCTGTGTCTAAATCTTTTCAGACTTCAGAGAAAAGCACTATTACCAGTGTTACACTGTGCCTTGCTCTTACATCTTTATCGACGTTACGCTCCTGAAGAAGGTGATGCGGTTGACGGTGGAGATATTGAGCCGTTTTCAAGTCTCATATGCGGTATGGCAACTTCGATCGGATTACACACAGAAACAGAATTTGTTCAATTCCCGTGCCCGGAAATGTTTCTGAGCGGCTGGCGAAAGTGTTGGTATGTTATTTACTTGATGGACCTCCATGAGTGCATGGACAGTGGTCACTCTTTGAAAATACACGAGAATAGTTTCAACACTAAACTCCCGTCAATGGACATCGATGCGGACGGTGGGATGCCGAGTTATGTAACTAATGCCACCATGGAAATCGCTTCAATTGAATGCATGGCTAAAAATTATGAGATGTCGCATGCATGCAGAAGGCTTCTGAATGTCGTGATGAATAAACGATTTAAAACAAGCTGCCAGGAAATCCAGGAACTATGCGACGAACTTGAGTCTAGCGTAAGGTCGTTCTGCGGAGATGGTCTGCGATCCATTATGGTAAGGAATTGTGCTAATAAACGGGACTTTATCATGAAATGCAATGATTTTGGGAATTTTGTCGACACTGCCTCGCTACTGTCAATGGTCACCTTTCACTTGTTCCTTCACACTGACAGGTGTATAACAGAAAGACCTGAGCTTTGCCATTACACCACATCGCTGTACTATCTAGAGAAGCTTCTGAAGTACTACGTGGAGGTTGAGCCAATTTTGCTCCTGATACTAACTGGCAATAACCCTTCCCATGGTGCGCCCGATGTTTTCGATGCCATATTTGGAGTTGGTTCTGAGCTTCTCATAATGTACTCTTGTAGAAGCTTCATCACTCGCTTCACCATAACTTTGCAGTGCTTCGCCTCGAGACTAAAGCATTTGAGGCTGAATTTCATGAGGCAGGAGGAAGAAAGTGAGATTTCGATTATTGTAATTGCCTTGCTGGAAGTGACTCTCAAAAAACTCTCTTTAATCACCACTATTTCACAGTCACTCAGTGCAACCCACTTTTTTGCATGGAGAATATCCAAAGCTCATTCTCGTGTGTACCAAATTCTACAGGCTGAGGACGGCTTGCTAGAATGCAAAATTCCAGAAAGACATAGCCCGCAAAAAAAGTTTGCAGCCGATGAAAGGGATACATTCTCGTCATCTTTCAAAAACTTTAAGACCATACCTGAATACAATAGCCTAACTATTGCGAAAATTTCGGATTTCAAAAGGCTACTTTCCATTCTAAATTCTACAGACTGGGAAATGTTCTCATCTTTTGTGGAGCCAGCTAAGATCACTTATTTGTTGAATAAAGCCAGTGAATTGTCTGTCAAAACGCATCATGACTTGAGAAGCTGGTCTAGACTGCGCCAGAAAAACACAAGTGTGAACTCAGACTCTGTGGCACAGACTGCGGCTCTTCCTTCAGAGATCCTGGGTTTGAATACAACCCGGGACTCTGTCATCGTTAATGTTTCGGGTGAGATGGATTCCGGTGCTACGGATGACTTTATTCCTCTAGATGAAGTAGATGCTTTCTGGTATAGTACTAAGCTTCGGGACCCTAGCAATAGTGCAAGCCTACCGTTCTCGGCGGGCAACATGTGGTATGAGGATTCTGGCCTTAGCCTCAAGCCCGACCGAACTCATTCAAATACGAAGAATAAACTGGAAGGCACACGACAAAGAGAGCCGGGCAGTACAGGTTCTGGAAATACCGATTTTTCGGTATCAGGGCATGTTTCCGAATGGCTTCAAAAGCTCAACGATGAAACGCGGGTTTTTAATGGCGAGGGCGCGGATAGCGGTTCTCATCAGGAGTTTAATTTCAATGAATCGGAGGTCATAAAGAGTCATGAAGGTGGTATTTCCGCCGAAGAATTTACAGAGTCTTTCCCAGACTCAGAGTTGTTATTCCCAACATTCAGTGCGTTAGCGGATGATATTGGCTATAACTAAGCCCAAAAATTCTTGCTTTGATATTTCAGATTACTTTGAGAGGAGAGACCTGGGCATTTAAGAGGGTGCAAATGGTGGGAATAAGACGTGTAAGAATTACGTTCTTTTTTTGCGTTTCGAGGCATGGAAAATCAATTTTTCTGGCTGTTAATACAATTAGTTGTCAAAGGGGAATATAAATGCTAAGGTCATGTTCTTCTTCAAAGGTCGGTAGCGGCTTGTTACAGAATTGAAAGGAACAGTTCAAAAAAAGGGCAATGATCGAGACATTGTAACACCTTTGGATCAAGGGAAAAGCTGTTCACCAATGTGGCTTGCTACCCGGTGCGCGTTAGATCGATGCATACAGCGACTGCTGGATGGTTTTGCCGTTGCGACCGGAAGACTCCTGTACCGAGTGGATGGCTATTGGAGCATTTGAAGCCAATGCCGTCGAGACAGAACCTCAAAGTCTGCATTGATGTAGCTCAGTCGCCGGAAGCACTTTCGTTGGGTCAGGCGTACAAGAAATTTTTCTCTGTCCGACAGGTTGCCCCCTTGACTACTGAGCCAATCAGGGCCAAAAATGACAAGAGCTTTCGTAGGTGCCGAAAATTTTGTTTTTCAAACTTCTCTAGAATAAGATCTGAAACTTTGAACCGAGGTCTTTGCTGAAGAGTCAGTTTTCCATCATAGGGAATGGGTCAATCGACACTCATAGCTCGAGCCTCCGTCTATTGAGGTCCAACGCCATCGGACGTATCGATGGTCTTTCTTTCATGCGCGGGGACATTATGACGGCCGAAGAAAGTGAGGATTGATAACATTTTTTGAAAATCATTACGTACCTAGCTTCATGCTCTGGGGGACGGGAGACTTGCTTAACCGAAAAATTGTAGAAGCGACTACTGGAGGTCAAGTTGAAAATCTTCTTTTGAAGAGAGTCGTGAGTAATTGGCCCCGTCACCGATTACTACTTAATACCAAAGGACTATCGAGGTGCCAGGGCTGTTAGTTTGATCGCTACACGAAAAGCTAAGGCAAACACTTATCTCGAACATTGTGGTTATCTTAGGGTTCTATAAAAGTACACAGTAGCGGTTTCATTGCAATCTCTGAGCATGGCCGGTGGTGATTTGTGTCTTTATTCACACGCTATCAGAATAGCGCAGAGTGCACGTGTTTATATGTCGTCTGTTCTGTTTCTGAAACCTTTTCAATATACTGAGTGGAATCTCCTATAATATTGGCAGACCCTTTATTTCTGTGCCTCAATGAGACGTCTCACCGCACCTTGTGCAGCTTCAATGGCACCTGTGACGTAGCCCGGATCTTTCTCACTAGTTTCACTTCCGCCAAGCAATAAGTGCTTAGACCATGGGCCATTCACCCAAGGTGACTTTTGAGCAGCGATATGTCCAGCGGCACTAATATCGGCGGCCGTGGAAGTTAGGCGGTCGGCAGCCCAGTCTTTGATGATAGTTGACGTAGGATAACGGGCCTGTTCGCCGAAAATGCGCACAAGTTGGTCGATACAGACATTCTTCACCGCTTCGTCGCCGAGGGCCACACGTTGTGCGGGAGAGATGCCAAGGAATCCCATTAGAGCAGCGTTACCGGAGGCCGTAGTTGCGTCGTGGATCTCAAGCATGGGTCCAATCATACTCTGGGCGGTACCCGATAGACCGTCGTCAATCCAGAACGCCTTATCGTACAGAGCGAAAAACTTGGCATGGGGCGCCATCCACGTAGGGGTCTCGCTCCAGCGTTTTCTGTCCCGGGCTTCCAGCTGGGGCGAGAATGAGACCGTAGCTTCCAACACGCGGGGAGGAACAGCAGCAATGACGTGTTTAGCTCTGATAAGCCTTGTTTGATTTTCCTGCTCCACGGTGAGAATGACTTCTGAGCCATGCAGCTCCAGAGATTTGAGCTTGGTTCGGAGCTGAATACGTTGGCTGGGAATATCCTTTTCCAGCTTGCGGATCAGTTGACCAGTTCCTCCACTCACACGCATTGACGGCTTTCCCTGAGACCTCCCCCCGTAGCGCTGTGTTGCTTCACGCACCATCCGCTCGAAAATGACGTCGCCCTGGTTGTTTTGATCGAACGAATCCAATTCCAGTTCCTTCACCAACTTGGCGACCGCAGGCTGAATGTCCGGCCAGAACCACGAAGCGCCCAAATCAAATCCTTCTTCCGTTGTCACAATTCTACCTCCCAACCGATTGCGAGCCTCCATCAAGACGTACTCAATTCCGGAGGCTTCGAAGGAACGTGCAGCATAGACTCCGGCTAAACCTGCACCTACAATCACCACATCGTGCACTTCATGCACTTCATCATCACTGTTGGATACCATCTTAGGACTAGTCGCGCCAGTTGATACTTCAGTGGAAATCTAAACTCTCTTAAGCTGGTCTAAAGCCAACTTGAACCATGGGACATCTTTCTTGCAAACCAATGTTATCATCTATTTAACTGTTAGTTAAAAAAGTTACTTCTTCGTGTTTAATGATCAAGTTTGTCTTCTTATTGTGAGATTTTGACGCCACAGTTTCATTACGCTATGTAGAGGTGCGTGCGCACGTTGGGCACTTTTTTCTAACTCAGTCATGAAAGGAAGTGTCAAGGTGATGAAACATCTTGTACCAAAATCAACTTGAAAATAGGTCTTGGACTTCACCAACTTTATAGCATTGAGTGTGTTCTAGTATTGTGGCGTTGAGGAGAGATGTCTCTGATGGCTTGGGGCGGGGGTGAAAGTATTGTTGTGCAGGTGAGAGCGTCAGCGGCCGTTGTGAAAAAGAGTCAGTTTCAAGCTCAGTTCAACTGCTGAGCCCGTCAGCAAAGATGATAATGAGCCTTGGGGGAAAGCGACAGCGAAGTGTTGTAAATAAAGATGCCTTTCACTAAGTAGGTTGAACAATTGAGAATTACAGTTGTTAATGGCGGATGATAAAAGCTAAAAACACTGCTGAACAACACCCGGAGAGCACCGGCGATCGTCTGTGATTAGGAAACCCCTGAAGTCACTGCTTATAAAACGTCAGCAATCGATTTTATCACGAGACGGCTGTGAGTATGATCTATAATCTGTCAATGACTGGTTGCGAACAGAAAGGGCTGATTCCATCAAACACCATATGGTCTTCACCGACTGACTTTTTATTCATTCGTGCAGTCATCAACGATATCTGTGCGCGGTTGCAGAAGCTCAGTCGCTTGACTTTCTTGTAGTTATTATACCTCAATTATGCTACGAGCCATCTCCTATGTTCATAATGAATCGCAGTCGCTTTCAATGCTCAACTGCCCTTATTACTGGACTTATTGTTTATCCCCCAAGACAAGCGCCTCATCGTGTTTGCCATATAGATCTTTCATAAAACCGCGAAACAACTTCTGCTTTCCTGTCGTGGTAATCAATTCAACCTCCTCGTCATCCAGCTGAAAATCAAAAATGTGCAGCATTTCTTCAAGGCGCGTCTCGTTGCTCGAAGTGGTGATCGGCACGACGCCGCTCTGGACGCTCCAATTAAGCAGGATTTGCAGCTCCGACTTGCCGTATTTTTGGGCAATCTTGGGCAAAATTTCGTCGAGTGGGCCGGGCTTCCCACCCGTCAACGGCGCCAGCGGCGAGTAGCCTTCTACCACAATGCCGTTTTGCTTGCAGTATTCAACAATCCCGGGCGACTGCTGCTGAAGATAAGGATGGAATTCAATTTGATTTACGCTGGGCGAGTGTTTTGCTATTTGCAAGATATATTGCAGACTCTTGACGTCGAAGTTGGAAACACCAATGTTTTTGGCAAGTCCACTATCCAGAATTTTCTCCATCTGGTCCCACGCTTCTTGCAGCGTGATCCCCGCGGTTTCTGGCGTGATGTTGGGCGAATGCAGCAAATACAAATCGACGTGTTCCAGTCCCATTTTCGACAGCGAGTTTTCCAACGACCACAACGGACCCGTGCTGTTGGTCCAGGAGTACGACCATGGGCCGTACTTATCGGTGACCCATAGGTCGCTTCTGAGGGTTCCAGACCTACGTATTCCGACACCGACTTCTTCGTAAGTCTTATACGCTTCTGCCGTGTCTATATGGTTGAATCCCAGTCCGATGGCATTGCTTACCTGCTCTGCAAGCGCCTCGGCGAAGTGTTCCTCTTCTGCGTTTTGCGCCTTCAATATTCTCCATTTGCTTCCGGAACCAAAACCGATTTTGGGAAGTCGGGCTCTAGTGCCCTTCAACTCGACAACGGGGATGGAAACTGTCATAGAAGCTAATGATATGGTGGATGTACATCTGACGTTAAATCGCTATGTTTGTAAGAGGGAATACTCTCACTAATGGCCTTATATAGCATGTAGTATCATTGTTCACGATATTCCTTATCTTGATCCATATCAGGCAGCCGAGAACCGAGCGCCTACTATCAAAAAACATGCCGTATGACGCGATTTACACGGGTCAAATAAAGGGGAAACACTGATAACGTTAAGTGTATCAAAAAATTTATTGATGATAAAGCCGTCCCCTTCCGATGCCAAAGCGTCACAAGGATTTTCGGCTTCGATTATTGGGAGGTGTGTACTCCCATTTTAGCTGGTTTTTACCGACAGACCCTTCCTTAGATCACTCACAAGTGGCTGTTCCGCGACATGCTCGCAGTGGCACATTCTTTTCTGCTCGAGTCAAACTTGCACAGTATATATTTAATTAGACAGATTTATAAAATTTGAACTTAGTCTCACTGCATCTAGTCCACTGGAGCATAGATAAACTGACCGGCAAGCTCGATGGACGTGGCCTTCGGATCTAGGCTTCCCTCAGACTTAGAGCATGCGGTTTCTGTAAGCATGCCCAAATGGGATCAAACCTTGGCATTTGAAGAAAAAGACCCCGTCTATGCTAACAAAATGCTCACTGGATATCCACGCTACTACCTACAACCACCCACAAGGGAGGTCGGGCAGTATCTACAGAGGTCGTTAGATGAAGACTTCGAGCTCTTCCGGCCCTTTGCTTCAGCGCAATCAGCTGAAAAATGCGTGCAGTACGTGAAGCAACGGTTGGGGCCGGACGCCAGGGTGCTGAAACAGGTGCACACCATTGGCTGCACGGGCAAAGACCATTTGCAGGTTGCAGGCATCTTTGCCTCGGGCGATGAAGCCCCTCTGGTTCAGGAATACTGGAAGTTTTCCGGGGAAGTCATGTCAACTCGCTTCGCCACGTTTGTGCTTTCTCAATTACAGCGAAAACCAGATTTGGAGGTTCCTCAGTTTCTCGCAGCTTGTAGAAGAGAGGAGGAGATGGGGGCCAGTGCAAAAGTCGCGCTTAGAGAACGAATCGTGGACAGATACTCCAAGCGCGTCTCTCATAAAGACGTGTTCTTCTTTGCAAGCGGCATGTCCACAATTTTCTCCACGCGCAAAATGATTTTGGCATGGACCGCTCTTCAAAGTGAGGACATTTCAACTCACTCGACCGTGGTGATTGGTTTTCCGTTCAAAGATACGCCTGCGGTTATGGACAGATTTGGACCAAATCATTTTTACGGTCTTGGAGACTCCAGAGACATCGACCAATTGGAGAACCTGCTGCAAAGGGGAGAAACAAGAGTGGCCGCTGTTTTCACGGAGACGCCTTCGAATCCTTTGCTCAGATTCACTGACCTTGGGAGGATAAGGCGTCTTGCAGATCGGTACAATTTCTGCTTTGTTATTGACGATACCATTGGCGGTTTGAACATCGATATTTTGGGTTTTGCAGATATCGTGTGCACATCCCTCACTAAGCTTTTCAACGGTGCCAGTAATGCACTGGCAGGATCTCTTGTTGTCAATCCTTCTTCCAAGTTCCACGGCTTTGCGGTCTCGTACTTTTCTAGTAGCGAGATCGAGGATTTGCTGTGGTGCCAGGATGCTGTTGTTTTAGAAAGAAACTCCAGGGACTTTCAAGCAAGGACTTTACAGACCAACGCCAATACTGAGAAACTTTTGAAAGACGTGCTTCTACCAGAACTTGGCACTATTTTCAAAAATATCCACTATCCATCTCTGCACCCAGAGAGTAAAGTAAATTATGACGCTGTGAAAACTGAAACGGGAGGTTATGGCTGCCTGTTGTCACTCACGTTTTTTGAGGAGGAAAGCGCACGCCGCTTTTACGATTCGCTGAATGTTTGCAAGGGTCCTTCCTTAGGTACCAATTTCACTTTGGCCGTTCCATTTGTACTGCTTGCACACTACGAAGAATTGGACCATGTGTACGATTCATACGGTGTTGAGAGAAATCTCGTTAGAGTTAATGTGGGACTGGAAGACGTTGAGAAATTGATACTCATCTTTCGGGTGGCCATAGACAAAGCCAGAGCTACAGATAATTCATCGTGACGGTGCAAATTTGATGCGTTCTGGGACGACGATCGTGGCGATAAAGAACTCTTTAGCGGCTTATTGGACCGACTGTGATCATGTAACTTCTTCAGCTGGTGCCATTTGTTTTGCTGTCGAAAAATTATATATTACCTATTTACAAAGGATAGTCGTCTGATGGACAAGAAATTGATAGGGAAATTGCTGAGTCCATCCGACGAGCCTTCTGTCAGCAAAAAATTGAGCTAGTTTTATCAATTACCAAGCTACTTAGCACCAAAATCTATAAATCCTGTAAACCCATGGCCTAGAAGCGAGTAGGCGTTTTTCATCCGCGATTTCTTGCTTCAATGTGTCGACATCAACAGCAATTCTTCCAGTGTCGATATCTATATCCTTCGCTCTGATGAATATTTTCCAGTTTCTTTTCCAGATTTTATGAAAAAAGTATAACGCAACAAGGACAGGGAATGACAGGTAGTCTCCAAAAAATGTCACAGCGCTAGGTTTTCCGTTAGTAGGCCAGACCGCGATCCAGAATTGAGAAATCAACACCAGGATAATAACAGTTAGCCCATAGTAGGAGCCCCATACACCAGTAATGGATGTGAAAGGTAGCTCTTCTGTGGAACGCCCTTGGTAGGCTAGAGCTCTTCTAAATCTCAAATGACACAGGCAGATGCCTCCCCAAGTGTAAAAGGACGATAATCCTGCAATTGCCATTAACCAGTTGAGTACATCTCCCTCTTTGTCTGACGCGGCGATGAAAGCGAGCAAACCAACAGTGCAGGTGATAACGATAGCAACAAGAGGCCTTCCTTTCCGGTCGATGTAACCAACGCAACGTGGGAGGAAGCCTTGATCTGCCAGGGCGCTCAAACTTCTGGAGCAAGCGAAAACTGACGAATTGCCCACCGAAAGCACGGAAATCAAGATCACCACATTCACCACACTAGGTAGTCCCTTGATGCCATGTGTCTCCAGTGCAAGCACGAACGGTGATGCGGTGGCATCCACGGACGATGCGGCAAACAGGCGTTTGTCGTTGTATGGAATGAGTAGACCGATCAGACACAAAGATATAATGTAGAAGAGGGTGATTCGCCAAAACACCTGTTTGGCTGCGCGCGGAAGCGCTTTACGCGGGTCCTTTGTTTCGGCGGCAGCCATACCAATCAATTCCGAGCCACCAAACGAGAATGCGGCAGTCACGAAAACGGTACACAGAGATTTGAACTGCTGAGCCGTACCATTGCCTTTGAAAGCGCCCGGTTCGTGCCAGTATCTCCCGCCTATATAGCCACCCGTAGGGCCACCTCCACATACGAGAATGATGCCCAGAATGATGAAGCCGATGACTGTGACAACTTTGATTAAGGAGAACACCATCTCGGCTTCACCGTAGCCCCGTACGCCAAATAAATTGATGAGGACGATGACTACGAAGAACAGCGCGACAAAGCCGTCGCGGTACTTGTCAGGTGTGTGCCAGTAGTTGACCGTGATGGATGCAGCCACAATCTCAAGCGGTAAGGTCACGAGCCAGCTGAAAGCGTAGATGAAATTGACAGCAAATCCGAACGACTCGTCCACAAACCGCGTAGCATACGTCGTGTACCCGCCCGAAACAGGAAACGCAACTGCCAGCTCGCCCACTGCCATTACCACGCTAAAAATCATGGTTCCGGTTAGCGCCCATCCGATTAACACCCCCGCAGGGCCTGCTGTTCTCAGCGCCTTTCCTGACCCAACAAACAGACCGGTACCTATGGCTCCTCCGATCGCAATCATTTGCAAGTGTCGATCTTTTAGGTGTCTCTGAAGAGGTGACCTCGCGGTAGCAATAGCAATTCGCTCGGCTTGTGATAGGTCAGGATCTAGCCTGAGAACCTCGGCAGCTTTGAATCCATCTCTAACATCTTGCCACCAAGATTTCTTTTCATTTGTGCTGTATTGCTCCACAGACCCAACTTCGACCCTCTGGTCGCTGTCTTTCACGTCCATAATGTTTTCTTCCTTGCCCGGCATTCTGATAATGGTTGGCACTTACCAAATGTGAATATGCATTTAACTCAAGATACCTTGGGCCATAGCGCTTTTATATGGCGAAACTACGGCTCCTGTGGAAGGCGATGACGTCTTTAATATGGTATCTGTTATCTGATGCCCGCGCTGTGGTAATCGCAGTAATCATACGCAATTCCTTATCGCGGGCCGAGCTTGCCTAAATAGGAATGATTCGTGCAGAAACAGAAAAACACCCGATTTTTTATCGTCTGTGATCCTTCGAGTGCCTAGATAGTGCCACAGCAGAGATACCCTGGAAACAAACGAGTAACCTGTGGACATATCTGTGTGATTTTGATGGCAGCGGTGTGTCTGCCATCAGAGACAGTGTCACACACGAGTGCTTTATGAGAGCTTTGGTTTCATGACTGGTTTGCCTCAACAACAACATGGTACTCTGAGACAGCCCGAATTGGATTAACGCCAACTTCCTTCAACACCTTTCTGTACCAGGTGCATAGCCAGGTACTATTGCCACATAATGAAGTGTGCCCTGGAGGCCCGTTTCCGATACCTCCGGTGGCCTTTTGTGATGAAAGGACTGTCACCATGATGAATTACAAATCAAATGCCCCTGATGAGCACCTTGGTAGAAAGTTTGAAAAGAGTTTGGCACTATATTTTTCTTCAGAACAGGAGGAAAATTCTCAGCACTTCCAAAGAGCTGACAAAAATGGAGATTTCTGGACAGAACTCCGACCTTTTGAAATCGTGTCACAAAGAAAAATGCACTCACGATCAATGCAGAAAGCGTCAATTTATATGCTACCGCAAGCAAGGCCTTATAATCCACTTCAACCTTTTCATTTGATTTTTGACGAGCGCAAACCTGTGAGGCCCGAAATTACATGTTTAAGGCAAGGAGCGGATCTTTTGTGTTCTGTCACAAAAGCTAATCACTTACTGTTAAAAGTGACACCTCTTTTTAAGCCATACATGATCACTGACTACACCGGGTAGGTTTTTTCTCGTACCGGGTTTTGACTCTGCCCACCAAATATAGAATAAACCCACCCTTCGTCACATGTGATGAGTTGAGCTGGGTAGTGTAGTTATGTACGAGTGGGTCAGCCTTGGGTTTCTGTCTAATGTGAACTATTATGTCTATATTTGCATCTAATAAACTTGGCACCCTCCGCCAGCCCAAGATTTAGTATCTCTTTCTTTCACATTAAACTACTAATTTCAATTCTTCTGTAGACTGTATTTCTGGGCCGGGCACAGAGTCGCTTGGAAAACAGGTTTCCTCTTCATCGATCTGGTTCATTTTTGATCTATCCTCTTCACTACCAGTATCGAAGTCAGACCCTTCAACGTCTGAACCAAACGCTTCGGACTCGCTTTCGCTCTCATCGAACTCTTTAGGAACGAACGAACTTTCACAATACTTGAAAAAGTTGAATTTTTGAAATCTGTCTCTCGAAACCATTGAGGTTCTGACATTCTTGGTCGCCAACCGCTTTCTATCTCGTCGCATAACCCTACCAGCCAAAGAAAAGCACCTTTCAACATAGCATGTAGAAATCTTGGTGTAGAAAAAGGTCATTGCAAGCTTGAAAAGTCTTGGAAATCTAAACCGTCTGTCAAACCAAAAGTGATAGCAGCTTCTCTCGAACAGGCAGCCAGAATAGGCTCACCCAGGTAGTTTGTCCATTCCTCCGTTCTTAAAAGATTTTCTTCGAGTGTCTCTTCATCATCTGGTCTCGGGGAAATAGATCCCAGTTGCTGCTTGTCAAAGTCAAAAAAATTATGCTTATTGGGTTGAATAGTGTTTAGACTAGCACAATCCTCATTTGGTGTGTAAACGGGCTCAAACTCGTTGAACTAATTTTTAATGAAAACGTCACACAGCAGAATGCTCCTGTTGGCATCTGGTGTAGACATTGTCCGGTAAAGTCTCTCAGTCTTCAATTGGGGATCGAGTAGAACTGATAGATAGTAAATGGGATCACTCTTGAATCCAGCAAAATATTTCAAGTGCGATTTTTTTGCTAACGCCATTGCCTCCAAAACGAGCTCTTAATCTTGAGAATGCAATGCTGAAGAACCGTTGAGATAAAAGAAATTAGTGACTGAAGGAGCAGCCACTGGACAAGCAATTGTAGTCATCATCTTTTAATTGAAGCGTCAAACTGTTGAAAAGATTGCAAGTTTCGACAAAATATTTTAATAATTATGTGGTTCTCGTGTCAAGAATGAGATACTTCTGCAACTTATCTGCAAGTTTCTCATCACCCGATTCTGCCATTTTTTTGCACCATGCTTCATAAAGGTCCCGATTAGCTAAAAATCTTTCAATTTGGCGCCACTTTATCATCCACCTTGTTGGACAATCTAGCGTGAGGATGGGCATCTTCAAGTTCTTCAAACTGGCCGCTATACGGGTGGAGTACCTCATGATTTTTGCCATTTTTACTATCTTTGCGTAGGCATCCGCGAAGATGCTGTTGGAATATAGATGGTCAAACATTTTCTGAAACTGCAGATTCAAAATGTGACTGGCACACCTTATGTAGCGCAACTTTTTGAACAGACGGTGAGCCAATGGTTTGTAACACTTCAGATTATCGTGGATCAACTAGGAATAAAATGCTTCGCTATTTGCAAGCATTATCCATTGTGATGGTTGCCACTTTGTCCAGCAGCTTATGCTTTTCCAGGAGGGATGATACGAAAGTATGCATGTACTTCCCAGTATGGCTTTTGGTTCCAAGACTTTGAAAGTCTATCAAGTGTGTATTTTGAGCTTTTTCTGTCCTATCGAAGAAAATTGAGGAACTAGGAGCCGTTCTCAATGTGGTCTCATTGTAAAAATTTGGGACGAATGATACCATGATGGCTAAAAAGGATTCCCCATTGGTTGCCGTCCAGATGTCCAGCACAATGTTGACGAGGTGTGTGTCTTTGAGATTCAGCGCCAAACACTCATCTAAATAACCTGTGTAAAGGTCAAGTTTTTTGACAAGGGTCGTCCTTGACTGAATGAATTTTGACTCTCTTGTGCTGTTGACAATGTCCCAAGTGTTTAGCTGAACCCAGCTGAATGGTAGAAAACCTTCGACGACAAGCATGACCGTTTGGAAAGATTCAGGGCTTTTTTTGTATTCGTCTTTAATTCTACTGGTCACTCTCAAGGCGTTTGATCTCTTCACGAAGGCCTCCAGGGTCCTTATTTTCTTCACTTTATTATTCCTATTGTCAAAAGCTGTTGGACGTGTCTTGCGAATGTGTTTCGAGAGATTTCCTGTAGATTCTCCTTCAGGAAATCGTTTTCTACAGTACAAGCACTGCGCAAATCTCTTACCTTTGACAGTCGGAAAGTCAAAAAAAGGTCGAAAGGACGATTTTAACATCCAGCCACTGACTTTGAGTTACTCTGGTGAGCTTTTTGAAGTTTCATGACTCGTTTCATGACACGTTGAACTACCAATGGACGTGTTTTCTGTCTCAGAGGATGTTAAATGAATAACACAACGGGTGCTATCCATAGACTGAACTACTAGTTGCTGTTCTTAGCTGTGATTCCATTCTGAAACTTGCATGTGGTTGGCAGTGTAAGTTTCTGGCTGGATCAAGATCTTTTCTGAGCCAAATTTACATTTTTTGGAAGATGCCCAAATCAAACAAACGCGTAATAATATATCAAAATCTTTGTCAAAGAGGCAATAAACTTACAAGGCCGTATGTTGTTGATTGCTCATGTGCCACCGCGCGTACATAGTGCATCCGGTCCCTAGACATACTTCAATATTGACAACATGCACAACATCTCGGCGTTTTTATGTTTGGGAGTGGACAAGACATCTTTTACTGTAATCGAATTGAAAGCAATTTATTAGCAGTTAAAAAACAATTCGTATAATGTGCTGAATAAAGCCGAGTATGATCACTAATACTACAGGTAACAGGAATGGGGGACGGGCAGCCACAGGTAGATCTCGTTTAATGCGATAAGGTTTACACGTGCTTGCGCGGGTAGCCGTATTTAGTTCCTGTCACTGTGCCAGCAAAAGCTGGCCTGTAAGGTGCACTCGATTAAAGCTTGTGCTGAACTATATATTGCGTCTAGTATTAGCTGCGATTTGAATAGCTAATATAATGAGCTCACTCACTGTAAGAATCGAGATCGCTGAAGGTATCTTCATCTAGAGAAGCATCTGACACATCGTCTTGCGCCCAGCGCTGACCTCTTCGATCGATGTGAATTGTTTGAGTTTCTCACGGAATCCAAAACACCTTGGGCGGTTTTTTAAGATCATTGTGCGCTTAAAGTTTGCGCTGGAGAGCGAAAATCGTCCTTGAATAGCCTTCCTACTGATGGAAAAGCACCGTTCGACGTCGGCCGTGGACAACGCCAAGGAGGACAATTGTGGATAAAATCTAAGCGAGAATCAAGGGGTTCTTGATTGTAGCTCTCCCATTATCGATGCATTGTCGTCTAGGCTGCGATATTGTTGGATGTCACTCGCTTGCTTTACAGTGTCACAACTGCTTGGAAGAGGCCTTAGTAAAAGGGGACTCTGCCATCAAAGAGCATTGCTCGGCTGAAAAGCTGAGCATGCGTCAAGTACGTCAGGCGAGGTTTTCAAGATCACAATGTTCGCCTCAGTTCTGAAAGTTGTACGTAAATTAAAATCATTAAATCTTGTTTTTTATCAAAACAAACTCTACCCGTGGAGGCTACTCGTTTCTTGTTTACTTTTCGAAAAGCTACTCGTGAAAATACTCGAAACTATTTACGCGATACTCGTGGTGGCTACCCGTTTTCGTCCCCTGTCCTGAGTATGCCAAATGACTTAAACGTCATGCGATGGGGTTTCTATTGGGAATTCTTACATTTTGATACTCATCGCGCATATCTAATCCTTATCACCCTTGCCAAAAAAATCACATGATCTCGGTAGCTGACTGCCCCATATAGCATACTGGCTCCGATAATTGAATCGCTGTCTATGTAAACAGGTATATTATGCCTGGCCTTTTGATACACGCCGGTCGTGTAAGGCGTGGCAGTAAAGAGCCAAGCGTTCTGTTCAGATGCCTGTTGACAATGTTTCTGACGAATTAAGTCCTGTCCGCCGAGGCCTGCTTGCAAACCTTGCTCTGACGGCCGAATACAAAGACGCCCGGCGTTATCCAAGGAGGACCAAAAACGTGATAGTGGTAGTGATCGCGCTGGCCACAGTAGTGGGCCCGATGGGCACTTCCATCGTGTATCCTGCCATCGACCCACTCATCCAAGACTACCACACTACCCGCCTAATGGTCAACGTGTCCGTCGGGGTTTACCTGGTCAGTCTAGGCATTTTCCCTCTGTGGTGGTCAACGCTCTCAGAGCTGCAAGGCCGCAGAACCGTGTATGTGGGCTCTTTCATGCTGCTCGTGTTGTTCAGCATTGGCACAGCGCTGGCTCCCAACATCTCGTGTTTCATCGTGTTGCGTATGCTTTGCGGTGCTGCATCTGCCAGTGTCCAAAGCGTGGGGGCGGGTACCATAGCGGATCTCTACCCACCAGCGGAGAGAGGCGAGAGTCTGGGCTATTACTACCTCGGGGCGCTGATGTCGCCACTCCTTTCGCCGATCATTGGGTCGTTATTAGTGTCGCGGTGGAATTGGAGGTCCACGCAGTGGTTTCTGCTGATCCTGGCTGGCGTGGATCTTGTGCTCCTCATTGTATTGCTGCCGGAAACACTACGGAACAAGTGCCAGGATGATAGCCTTGTTGTGGGAACTCCGTCGGATGCAGCGTCGTGTGGATCCAAACTGGAACAGCAGGCTAAGGGCAGCGAGATCAACGACGATGCGGAGGCAATCATAGAGTGGGAGCAAAGAGACGACGCAGCTTCAGCATCAATCTCACGGCCGCACTTTGCAAGTTTTTTTGGCTATCTTGTGGGGCCGTTTAAGTCTCTGCAGCTGCTGAAGTACCCACAGTTGTCGTTTGCAATACTATTCTCTTCTGTGGCGTTCGGCGTGTTGTACTTTGTCAACATGGCGCTGCAGTATGGGTACTCGAGGCCACCGTACAATTTCAAGCCCTTGTACATCGGCTTGTTATACATTCCGAACTCCGTAACATATTTTATAGCGTCTGTCGTGGGCGGCCGATGGCTTGATCATTTGCTGAAACAGCACTGGAAAAACTACCACGAGTTCGCACCGGAGGCTCGCATATCCTGGAATGTTCTGCTGGCGGTAGCACTTTTCCCGGCCTCGCTTCTTATCTTTGGGTGGTGTTTGCAGACTAAACAGCATTGGGTGTTACCGCTAATCGGCACTGCTTTGTTTGGCTTTTCTTCTATGATAATTATGGCAGCAACAGTGTCCTACATATTGGACTCGCTTCCCGGTAGAGGTGCTACTGGTGTGGCGCTCAACAACTTGGTACGTCAGCTTATAGCTGCGGTTGCAGTGTTCGTGAGTGACCCGCTGATGAGTAGTATAGGACTTGGATGGACTTTCACTATGCTATCAGGAGTAATCATTGTGAGCAGTGGAAGCTTGGCGATACTGAAGTGGAAGAGCCCGCAGTGGAGGATAAAGTATGATTTGAGCAAGATCTAGGGAGCTTGAGAATTTAGCATATTTGAGTATAATGGCTGATCAACGAATAGATACAATTGTATACTTCAGTATATTTGAATGGGTAGGCCTTTATTGCTCGAAACGGATGCCATATGTTGGGCCAGCAAAAAAAGCGCTTATGCTTTGCCCGCGTTGTAGCGCTTTTAGGGCTTTTTATAAATTCTGATGGATTATACAAGTAAACACTGATTTTGAATGAAGCATGCTTACCGGATCTTTATTTTGTGTAAAGAGGTCCATTCTGTGTTTTTTTTCGGGAAAGGGCAAAATATTAACTTAAACAGGACTGTGGACGAATCTAGAAATCCAGGGCAAGAATCCACTCGTTCAAAATGCTTGATGATTCGAATCATTTAGTATAGGATGACAAGACGCGTAAAGAAACAGTGTTTGAGCCAGACACAACCGATAGACGATTTCAGCTGTGCTGGAACGCTGGTTCACGTCGGTCACGAATCGCATGTTGAGTCCGAGAAAGAAGAAAACATTGAACAATCTTTGGCAACGTATGAACAATCTTTGGCAACGTATGATCAACCTAATGATGCAGAAATTAGCGATGATGAGTCGATGCAAAGCGGCGTCCGCGCTGGGTTAGAGGAAACATCCGCGAATGAAACCGCCATCTTTTATGCCAATGGAGACTCACAAACACAGCAAAGGAGCGAGAATGAGAGATATAAATCGATCGAAGTTAATCAAACTATCGATAAAGGTCTAAGAGAATCAGAGGACGCAACTGTTGATCAATCGGCGCACCTTCCAGGTACAACTAGCTCTGATGGGCCAACAATCTCCCAATCGATCAACAGTCGTCCTTTGCAGCGGACTTCAAATCCCACCATTAATCAGAGAGTCATTGTACCTTATGAGGGCTGGACTTATTCTAGCGATTTCAGAAATCTAGTACATGACACCTCTCTTGAACCTAGCCATTATCATCATTATAGCAGTTCTGGAGAATTGGATGGTGAACGCGGGCGGCTCAATATTAGAAAAAGACTGCCCAATACGACTATATGAGCCCTCAGCAGGCTTTCGAGGGAAAGTTCAATTTTGATTTTGCTGGGTTTTCGATAAGCCCTTTCCATAAGTTAAGCCAGACAGTAGGTTCAAATGAAGGATATATGGAAGGACAGGTGGTGAATAAATTCGATTCTTGGCTCTCTTCTTCGCCATACGAAATCTGGTTCACTAAAGTCAAAGACGAGAACCCTTACACTGTTTGTAAATATGATGAATGCGGGCACAAATCCTCGCTTCAAGGCAATTCGACATCATCAAATTTTGTCAGGCATCTCAAACATAGGCATTGCGATGACTTTTCATTATTCTGCAAAAATTTGAACGGAAAGCTGAGATCTCTGGAATCATTTTCCACAGTTCTTTCGACTTTTTCAAGACCCGTTCTTCTGACAAAGAGATTCGTGAAATTCTCGGCTCTCAATAAGTGCAAGCTGATTTAACTCCATGCTTTTATTGAAAATTTCGTTCCGTTCCATTTGGTAGAAGCACCTGCTATGAGATCGTTTTTACAATTTCTCAATACGTCTAACTGACCTCTCATTTCATCGCGTAAAGCGTTGGTTAGACTTCCGAACGACTATGAATACGAGTTCAGCAAAGTATTGAAGTCTGCTTTGCGACACTCTATCAACTTCAACCTGCTACTAGACATGCGGACGTCCTCGGGCCAAAAGAGCTATTTAGCCGTCATGGTATCATTTTGCCCAAACTTGAAAAAGAAGTGGTGCTATGAGAAGGATGACTTGGTTATTTCAGCGAATCAGGACACGCGCGTCCTAGATTTTATAGACGTCAGTGATAAAACGCACACAGCAGAAAATCTTAAGACTGCCTTATCGGAATGTCTCGCGAAGTATTCGATCAGTCACAAAATTGGCAGCATCACCCTAGACAATGGGTCCAACAATATCTCAATGCTTGAGAACCTCGATGAGGCTTTTGAATTAGGATTAGAGGTTGCTGAACCTAGAGCATTACAAAGATCCGGTGTATGAGCCATGTTTCAAATCGCATCTTTATTCATTTATTCAGAGCCTTTGAAAACATCACTCAAGCTTGCCCTCAAGAATCGACAAGATCTCATACTATACCAACAGCAATGTTTTTGTCAAGGAAAAACTTAAAGCCTACCTTCCCTGCTCTATTCCAAAGTATACAACCACAAGATTTCTTTCACGCCATCGTCAGCTCAAGACCTTCCTCAAAGTATCCAAACAAGCTGAGAGTATCAACCTTTATTATTTACTTCAGTTTGAATTTCAATTGAGTCCAGAAGAGGGCCCTATTTTCTGTGACGTTTTTCATTTACATACCGCGCGTGTTCGGGGAGTTCACCATGCTTCTCCAAAAAAACTGGACCAGCGCAGTTATAAATGAAATTGACTACCACAGAGCTATAAGCCGATACTATGAAGCAGAGCTGTATTTCGGGTTGACCCGAATCAAAATATCGCTACCCGGATGTCCAAAAGCGGGTCGTAAACGGGTAGTATCTTTCATACGATCGAGTTTTTTCTGGGTACATGATTTAATGTTTACAAATTATACTAGGATATATCATTTACGCGTTTCGGATGGGACACGAGTAGGCAGCTTGTAAATCCAATATATTGTCAGTGATTCGAGACAAAGGCACTAAATTCATCGGTGTAGTTTTGAACTCGATTGATATACCAGCTTCACCTTCTGAAACTCCAAGTCGTCGTCGTCCGATTAAGAGTAGCATTCTACATAGTCATCATCCTCATCAGAATCTTGGACATTCAGTGTCGATTTTTGATTGAAGAGACCCCAGCCCTTGAAGCGATTTCTGAGGAGTAGCAACCTATTGAAATTGAGGCTGCTCATAATTCTTCTTTCTTTGCGGAGGACTTTTCCGCTAATAGAGAACGCTCTCTCCAGACCGCTTGTGCTAAATTTTGTGTAAAGAAGAGCCACGGCAAGCCTAAATGAATTGGGATATGCGCCACGGCGTTCATACCACCATTGTATCAGGTCCTCTTTGAAGTCCATAGTATAATGCTCTTCTGCTCTATATTTGTCCCACTCGCTGACTGCCTGATTGCTCATAAAAGGCTCCCCATAACATGAATGCTTTTCGCGTCAGTTTATTGTGGGTAATTTGCTGACTCGATGTGGCGTGCCTCTAACAGATCTTTTGGCAAGTTCGGTTGACGTAGTGAGCTTTCTCGGTTCACACTTCTTGAGGTAGAACTTCAGATACCTCTCCACTTTGCTTTGTTGACATCGAGCCTCGTCCTCCATCATAAGCGTGTTGAAAGCATTGATCTTTGGACGAAGGATCCAGGAGCGCAGCGACAAAACAAAGGTCATTTTCTGTGAAGTACTGAAAATAAGTTGCGAATTTGTTTCGAGTAGAAAGAACAGCATCAAGCACCGTTTTCTTCATTTCTAACGGCGTATTTTCAGTTCCATTGATGAGGGTAAAATCAATTGCTCCTTCTTTCGGTTCCACTATCATTTCCGTGTGGGCATCACCGCATAAGTCATAATATTCCAGAAGTGTTTAATACAAAGGAATTGCACTAGAGAGATGATTGAAAGAATCTTCTTGCAGAGTGTCATTCAGCACTTTGAAAATTGAGCAACAAGCGACAAAGTACTGCAAAAGACGAACTTTCTCAGGGGATTGGTCGAAACATCTTTCGATTTTTGAAGCAGCAGAATTATTCTTTGGTAGCTCTTTGAAGTTGTCGAACCACGTTAGGTACTGCTGGCGGTATTTCAGAAAAGTAGTCACTTGCCTCCAGATATACAACCACCGTGTTTCTGATGCAGCAGGTACCAACGGGATTAAAGCTTTCTTTAAGGAGGACCTCAAAAGAGAAGAGTGCTTCATCTTGTGAGCCAGCCGTGTGATACGTGCCAGTCAAGCTAAACTTTGTGTTTGCTTTTAGGTTCTTCACTACATCTTGAAAAGTATGTTCAGGACATGGTTTCCCCATCAAAAAATGTAGAAGAATCCTAGGCGATCAAACGTCCCGGATTTGCACGTTTTGAAATGGTCATGGACAAGGTGGGAATGCATGCATATATTGTTCGTGGCATTATCACAAATAATTGTTGCAACTTGATCATTTATCTCATACTCTTTCATCAGATCCCGAAGCTCCTTGAAAAGGTTTTCTCCCGTGTGTGGTGTATCGCTCACATCAATGAACCCCAGTGATGTGGGTGTTGTACGGTTCGTTATAATTATCAAGAAGAATCTTGCTGCTGCCAACATCATTTGACATAGCATCGTTAATAAGATTGGGCGCAAATGATGCGGCTACAGCTAGATATGATCTTCCATTCCCGCCGGACCAGATCTCCAGTTCAATGTTAATGAAGTCAGTTTTACTCAATACTTTTTCAAGTCCAGCATTGAACTGATTGGTATAGTTCGATAGCCTGTCAACGACCGCTGGTCGTGATCATATTAATTTAATTTAAGAGCAGGGTTCGCTAATGACGTTCCAACCTTTACCTTCAAAAAAGGAGAACGCGACCAACTTTTCTGTCAAAAGCAACAGGATACCAAAATCGCCACGGCTATGCTTCCATTCTGCGGTTATTGCAGCGGGTAGTGGCGAGGAACGACACTCGATACCTAATTGGCTTAGACTTCTAGATTTTTCTTCTTCTTTTCGGCCGCCTTTGTATGCTAGAGGATGAACCTTCTTTACGTGTTTTGAAAGATTTCCTGTGGACTAAGCTTCCTTGAATTCGCGTTTGCAGTGAACGCAAGAAGCAATCTTTGGTCCATCCGCCTCTGTAACATCGAAGTGGCGACGAAGGGCTGATCGATCCATCCATCCAGTGAATTCAAGTTGTCTAGTTAGTGTACTAGGAACGGAGAAGCCTTCTGCCGCACTTGCTGGGTTTGAGGCAGATGGCTCCGGGATGAGGGTTTCGCCTTCCAAACCTGAAACTTGGTCAGAAAGCTCCTCAATCTGATATGATTCTTGGACACCAATCATTGTGTGTCATTTGAGTAGTTAGAACGAGAGAGCGGGCGATCTGAATCATGATGATTGCATTTGAAATTTTTGACGCCAGAATTTTTCTCTACGCGTCTCGATTCTTAAGAGGGTATTCAGAGTTAAGGATGCGGGTTGCTAACGGGTTGCATTCTTTTTTCACTCGAGTTATAGACGAATCATTGTGACTGACCACGTGAATACTATGTGGGTATATTAAACAGGGGTTACCCAGCCTGAGGACGTACCCGAAATACAGCTCTGGCGTTCATCAGCGAATCCTTCCTCGTACTTGACGACGTGATTCGCGAATTCCTGGATTCGTCCCCAGTCCTGGTATTTCGTACAAAATTGCAAACTGCTGATCATGTCTGGCTTATCGGTCGTCGAAAACATTGAAAGCTAACTTTAAATTGTCAAAGAGAATGGTGTAAGAGTCAAGGAAGAAAACTACGGTGACATTACTCATATACTGTATTTGTGATGATTGGAATAAACGTGGACGAATTGGGCGTTTATTGTGGGTGCCATCCTAGGACTCGTTATCTTGAGTCACATACTCCGGGTATGGTAATTTAATATAAACTCATGACATTTTGAACGATCAGTACCCGGGGCACTGATCAGTGGGTTTTTGCTAACCGAGTCGCGAAAACCCCTCCACGTACGTTACTCGCTGGTCAAATATAGCCTATGGCCCTTGTCGTACCCTCGGCGCCTCGCTGACATCTTTCCTGTTTGGTTTTATTCGTTCTCTCGCAGCTGGTACGCATGCGACCGGGAAGCATTTCCTGATTGGGAAGTTTTAATCCGTGCTGGAGCACGATCAACGTCCTTCATTCCAGAGATTCTGAACCTGGCCAAAGAACTCTCCTAGATGTCGAGCGTGGACAAAGACGGTTATGACAACTTCTATCTGTAGTTCAAGCTTATCATAACACTGATGGTAGGTTTTGCAGATTTTTTTAGCAACGAGTCATCAAACCCGCCGTGAACTGTGTCAAGAGAAAGTACTTAAAGCATAAAGACGAAAGAATCAAGCCGATTGAGAGCTCCAAGACCCTTCAAACCATCACACGCTTATACCACAATGACTCTACCTAAGGCTAAGGAGTTTTTGAACAAGCTCTCGACAGAGGCCCGAACCAGAACACCTTCCCCCATGAAGTCCCTAGGAAGCTATTTTAACCGGGAAAACTTGGTCTTCCTGGCAGGCGGCATGCCAATGGCGGACTTGTTTCCATGGAACGAAATAAGTGCGAAATCTCCATTACCTAGGCACGGGAGTACCTTTGAGTCCATGAAGCAGCTGCAGGATTCTGACGTCTGTGAGACCATGGTGAGAAAAACTGAGGGCACGGTCAATGGGGACATACCGCTAGCCAGATCTTTGCAATATGGTCACACCGCAGGACAGCCCGAACTCGTCGCATTTCTTAAAGAGCACACAAAGATGTACCACGATATGCAATACTCGGATTGGCAATTGATAACGTCGGCTGGTAATACACAGTCGTGGGAGGCAACGTTGAGAGTCTTCTGCGATAAGGGTGACACCATACTGGTAGAAGCACATTCGTTCACTACCTCGCTTTCTGCCGCGCAGGCTCAGGGCGTGAATATCGAGCACATCGCTCTGGATGACGATGGTATCGTCCCAGGGGCATTGGAGGCAACGCTGCACAACTGGGACCCCAGCGTTCCTTTGCCCAAACTTCTGTATTTGATCCCAACTGGTCAGAATCCCACGGGATCGACGCTCGGGGAAGCTAGAAGACGCGAGGTCTATGCAATTGCGCAAAAGTACGACCTTATCATTGTCGAGGATGAGCCTTACTACTTTCTACAAATGGACCCTTTTACCCGTAATCGTCCAGAGCGTAAGGACCAGTCCCGTATGTCGCATGACGAGTTCAGAAAATCCTTAATCAAATCATTTATTTCCCTGGACACTGACGGCCGTGTCGTTCGTCTAGAATCATTTTCCAAGGTTCTGGCACCGGGAACTCGTTTGGGATGGATAGTGGCATCCCAGTCGCTGGTGGAGAGATACATACATTTTCAGGAAGTGGCAATCCAAGCTCCCTCGGGCTTCACACAGACAATGGTCTCAGGCCTGCTGAATAGATGGGGGCAAGAAGGCTACACCAATTGGTTGATCGCTTTACGTACCGAGTACAGCAACCGTCGGAATGCCGCATGTGACGCCTTGTATAAATATCTGCCTCTGGGGTCTACAGTCAAGATGACACCCCCTACAGCAGGTATGTTTTTTATTGTCAAGGCCGATGCCTCTCAGCATCCAGAATTCTTGAGCAAGTACGGCGGCAGTGGTATGGAGGTCGAAAAGATGTTTTTCCAAAAATTTATCAATAATGGCGTCATCCTTGTTCCAGGGTTTTGGTTCAAGAAGGCGTCGGTGGAGTTGGGCTCGAAGCCTAACGAGAAGCAGTCGTCCGAGATTTTCTTCAGAGGAACATTTGCTGCCGTTGATCTGAAAGCTTTAGAGAGGGGTATTAAGGCACTCGCTGAGTGTTTGAAGCTAGAGTTCTGCGTCTAAGTCTGCAAGGTCCACTCATTTTTCCTCGAGTGATGCTGAATTGCAGGCGCGAGGACGAGGTAACATTTACATAAATTGAAACTGAATGTAACGCAGAGCTGTTCTTATGAAAAAAGGCGATCGTGGATAACTATTGGTCGTCAACGTCCCAGACCAGGACTGGGGGACGGATAGCCACAGGTAGATCTCGTTTAATGCGATAAGGTTTACACGTGCTTGCGCGGGTAGCCGTATTTAGTTCCTGTCACTGTGCCAGCAAAAGCTGGCCTGTAAGGTGCACTCGATTAAAGCTTGTGCTGAACTATATATTGCGTCTAGTATTAGCTGCGATTTGAATAGCTAATATAATGAGCTCACTCACTGCAAGAATCGAGATCGCTGAAGGTATCTTCATCTAGAGAAGCATCTGACACATCGTCTTGCGCCCAGCGCTGACCTCTTCGATCGATGTGAATTGTTTGAGTTTCTCACGGAATCCAAAACACCTTGGGCGGTTTTTTAAGATCATTGTGCGCTTAAAGTTTGCGCTGGAGAGCGAAAATCGTCCTTGAATAGCCTTCCTACTGATGGAAAAGCACCGTTCGACGTCGGCCGTGGACAATTTGGTATAGTAGAAAGACAACGCCAAAGAGGACAATCGTGGAAATTTCTCCCTGTTGGCCATCCAATAGTGGATAAAACCGAAGCGAGTTTCAAGGGGTTCTTGATTGTAGCTCTCCCATTCCAGTAATATTCCGCGCTCAGGTGGTGAACTTTTTAATGTTTCAGCGAACTCGTTGAATGATTTGAGTTATTTCTTGAGCTTCCTTTTCTTAGTAGGGCTTGAAGTTCTTGCGTCAATGTCCGCGACATCTGTTGGTAATTTCAACTTATGTTGTTGAAATAGTGATTGACATAGTTCGATGCTTTGCTGACTATGAGCTCTTTTGCTTCCGTATCAAGAATCTTTGATAATGATTAAACTTTCATGTCTGGTCTCAATATGTGAGCAACCCAGTATCCTATCTGTTCATGGGCGAAATTATAGTACTTTTCAAAAAGGTATCTTTTCTCAACGATACTTGACAAAATAATTGACCTTTGAGCTTCCTCCACTGCCTCGAGGTGCTTGAGCTGAATACCTGCAGTTTTTAAACTCTCGTGGGAAACATCACCACTTGAAATTAGTGAGCATGCTTCAAAATACTTGTGAAGCAAAGTGTAAAACTGTATGCCATTGGGGAGATTGTTCAGCGCGTCATCTTGCATATCCATTGTTAATCTGAAAATACACGAGTAAGCTTGAGAAACAATTTCAAGGGATATATCTCTGCTGGTTCTTGAAAGAAAAGTCTGCTATGATCTCTCTTGAGCTGGAACTTTTTATACGTGCAATTCTTAAAGTAGAATTCCCTTAAAGTGTTTGTGAGATTCAAACAGGGAAATAACTGCTTATGGCGGGATACAAACCGCGTTTCATTATGTTTTGGAATTGCTTTTCCAACGTAAAGTTTGAACTAATCACCAAGAAAAACGCTGTACTTGATCTTCGAAGTAAGTTCATCAATCCTTTGGAGGAGCTCAGCATTGTGCTTCTCGAACTTCTCAACGATATGCTTGAATATTATGTTGAGCACATGGTTCAAGCAACGAATTCTAATGATTCCTCATTCCTCATTTGCCCCAACCCCAACTAGCTCGGGCTCAATTTTGTCAAGCATTGCCAAGTTGTTTGTAGCGTTGTCTATCGTAACACTCGCGACTTTATGTTTAAGCGAGTATTGGTCCAAGGTATTACCTAGAACCTGACTCAAATAGTCTCCAGTGTGACGGAAGGCGTTAACGTCATGAAAACCGATGATGTGGGTATTAGGAAAACCTCCGCATACGACGTCCTCTCTTTGAGAGTTTTCATCAAGACGGTCCCAGTTCGGACAAAATGAAACCGAAATAGCGAGATAGCTCTTGCTAGCAGCAGAAGTCCAAATATCCAACAGGATATTTGTTTTCTAAGTCTTCTTAAACGTGAACCTTAACTGTTTTTCGAATCTGTTGTGATAATTCTTGATTTCTTTAACCAGTGCCTTGCGAGAAAAAACGAACTGGTCCTTATTTCTTCCAGCGGCAACACCAATTACGTCGCGAAAGGACTGACTTTCTACTAAACTGAAGGGTAGCAAATTCTCGACAAATAAATTCAGTTCCTTGATCATTGTTAGATTTCTTTTGCAAAATTCAATAAGGCTTGCGCATAATTGATAAGATTTTCGAGCTTCAGAAACAACGTTCTTCATGCCTGTAAGTTCGTTCTGCTTGGGATGTACTTTTGAGTACAACTTGTCATAGTCCGATCTGTGATTTGTTCTGAGGTGCTTCAACAAATTAGAAGTAATGAAGTTTTTGGTGAAGCGAAACACTTTACGGCACTGATCATATTTGTACTGCGCAAAAGGTTCGCTTCCATTATGTTTCGAGAACCAGATCTTGAATGGAGATGCCGATAGCCATTTCTTAAACCTCTCGGTGATTTCCTTGTCGGAAAGGCCTTTGATCTGATTCATTATTTTCATTGGGTATTTTGCAAGGATTCATAGAATATTCATCGACTTTAATTGAATAGTGATTTGTGAAGAAAGCTTCCACCTGTTTCATCTTTCGCTGTGAAACATCTTGAGAATTTTCCTCAATTGATCGACAACTACAGTCACTTCCAGATGCCTCAGTTGTGGAATAATGATAAAGTTCCTTTGGCTGTAGAGTCGAGTCGTGATGCGCACGGTCATATCTCAGGTTTTCAGCTCGGCATCCGCTAATTTTTCTCAAAATAGAAGGTGAGGGCCTCCTAAAATCGAACCGCTGATGCTGCTGGCGAAAGCTCTCATATGGCTAAGAGTTTGAGTTGTTTTTCAAAGCAATATCACTTGATTCTTCTATCAATTCGACGGAATCTGCTTGGTTTTCATCAAGGTGCATCTTCATAAGGTCATCGCCAACCGAGCTATCCCCCGTCCTGGGCTACCCGTGAGTCTACACGTCACTATCTACGTCCTACTCGCAACGGCTACCCCAGTGCTGTCCAACGGGTTGACCCGGATCAAAAATTTTGCAACCCGGGTTGCAAAATTCGGGTACTTAACGGGTTGCTGTTTTTTTTCAATCAGGTCTTTGAGTATTAATAATTTAATATTTACGGATCCTTCAGTGAGTTTCAATCACATTCAATAGCGTCGCTAACGGGTTGGGAACACCTCACATCGCCTCGGTGACAAAGAGGAGCAGCTCATGTTTGTTCGCGATGCTAAAAAACGTTTAGACTTGATATGAATTGTATAATGCTACCTGGGCTAAATACTGGTCAAAATACTAATTACGCCGCCCAGCGACCGTCGAGATGGTCATCATCATCATAGGCATCATCATCATCAACACCGTAATCATCATCCTGACAATCATCCTCAAGGGGTTCTTCATCAGATGATATATTTATAAAATCATCGGCATCGCCCGGTTTCGTGAGTAGAAGTTCCTTGTCGTACAGGCCGAAGTTAAAAAAGCGGTCTCTTAAAAGCATGATTCTCCTCGCATTAGCGCTCCCGAGACTTCTGCGGTCGCTTCTCATTAGTTTTCCACTGATAGAGAATGTTCTCTCAATACCGCATGTGCTGAACTTTGTGTACAACATGGATAAAGCCAACGGAAACAAATGAGGGTAGGTCAAACGCCGCGAGTACCACCACTTCACGGCATCTGTCAAAGAATCTGAAGTTAAATGAGAATCAGCCTTATAGTTCTCCCATTCTTCCAGAGCTTTAGAGGTTCTTTCTGGAGGCTGCTTGAAATGCAATTTTAGCCTTTTGAACTTGGTGACGCGATTCGTGTTCACTGGCTTGAGCATATTGTCAATGTACGGATGGTTTTCGGATTGGCACTGCTTGAGGTAGCCCTTGACATATGCCTCTACCCTTCGAAAGTGCTCTGATCCCTCATTATCACCAAAAAATTCTTTAAAATAATCGCCTTTGATACTAGGATCCAAGAACGCCGCAACAAAGTAGATGTCGTTCTTTTCATACAACTCGAAGTATTCGTCGAATTTTGACCTGGAAGAGATGATGGCTTTCAAAACAGTACTCTTTATCTCTTCAGAGAGTTCGAACTTTCCATTAATGAAGGTGAAATCAAAAAACCCCTCTGGAGAAGCTGGAATGGTTTCCGTTTCACCCCTGCTGCATAAGTCATAAAATTCCTTCATCGTGGAATAGAAAGTGACTGCATTAGCTATGTTGCTTGCATTGTTGTCTTGCAAAGTATCGTTCATTAGCTGGAAGATCGAGCAACAGCTCGTAAAATACTCTAAGAGTTGTACTGTTTCGTCCGTGAGCTGCAGCCGCATTTCTATCTTCGGAAGGACATTGTGATATTGTTCATTTGACTTCAAACTCTGAGCCCACCCTAAATATCCTTTGTGATGCTTTAGAAATGTAGCGACCTGTTTCCAAATGAAAATCCACCGCGTTTCGGGAGCCGAAGGCACCAAGGGTAATCTAGCATCCGCTATAGCAGACCTTAAAAGAGATGACCTCTTGATTATTTTGGCGAACGCACTAACATCTCTCAAGCCTTTTTCAAACCTCTCATCTTCCCTCAGCTTTCTCACGATCTCCTGAAACAGAAGGTTCAAAATGTGACTTGCGCAGCGAACATGATGAAAGTTTTTTGTCTTCTTGAATGCCGTCGTCCTCGAAGGTTTTATGAGATTGTGAAGAAGGAAAGAATGCATGGCCGTATTATTAGTAGCATTGTCAGAGGTAAAGGAGAGGACTTTATTTGTTATTCTAAATCGGTTCAAAACCTCCACGACCGTGGTATGCAGACTTTCACCTGTATGGCGTGAGCCGCTGATATCAACAAAATCCAAAAGGTGACTGTTATTGGTCTCTTCACAGTTATTGAGTAATGCCTTTTCTCCAACGCCTTGTAACATCTTTTCATTCAGCAAGTTCGGAGCGAATGAAGCTGCAATACCCAAATAAGAGTGACCGTTGCCTCCAGTCCACACATCTAGCTCTAAGTTTATGAAATCGGTTTGTTCTAGAGCCGCAACGAGTGCCTTATCAAACCATTGGGAGTAGGTTTCGAGTTTTGTATTTATCGTGGTGCGAGATTGAATGAATGACATTTCTGGACATGCCTTACATATCCATTTCCACGTTCTAGAGCTGACAAACGAAAACGGCAACAGTCTTTCCGTCAAAAAGCCAATTGTCCCGATGGAGCCAGGACTGTGCTTACACTCGCGAGCAATTTCTCCCGGCAGCGGAAGCGAGCGAGATTTCATGATCAAAGAGTCTAGTGAACGCTCCTTTATAGTTGCAGCCTTTTGGGATCTGTACTGGCAGGGGTGAATGTTCTTGACGTGCTTGGAGAGATTACCCGTAGAATTGCTTTCGTAGAAGGTTCTTCCGCAATGTATACAGCTAGCTGTGGTCAAACCATCTGTTTGAGAAAGTCGAAAGTGCTTGCGAAGTGCGGACCTTTGCATCCATTGTGTATTTCCACGCGCTAGAGCCTTTTTTGTATTGTGGTGGGCAAGTCACCTAGGTGGTTCTCAGGATCACTTAGAACCGTATCCCCTTCAAGATCAGTACTGGGACTCGGCGCTAGTTCATGTGGTGCAATCATAAGAGGGGCTTCCATTGTTGGTAGAAACTGTGGCCTGAGCCATGTTCCTGAATGTGAAGTAATGAATTCTGAATTTTGTCACCTTTTATATCTTCAAAAGTTTACGCGTTGCATTTTAAAAAAGACGCGTTACATTTTAGAAAAAACGCGTCCAGGTTCCTCTCAGGTTGCAGTTCAATTCTAAGCGGGTTGTACGACAGGTTATGATTTGCCCGAAGCGGGTTCTTTCAGGTACCTAGCTATTTAGCAGATGGGTCCTCAAATTTTATGAATTTTTTTTACCCGGCCAGTTTTGCAACCCGTTGGACAGCACTGGGCTACCCGTACTCGTCATTGTTAACGCACTAAACGCAGTGGCTACCCGTACTCGATGTCAGGATCTGCAGCCCATGGCCTCCAGTTCATCGCTCAAAGCTCTTGAGCAAGCAAGTCGCTGTGAATGTCATCGGATCGAAGGTTTCAGGTCCAGCTAGTCACGTTCGAAGTCCTGACTAGCCTGCAGTGGCACTTGTGCAGATAGTGTCATGGAACGAGTGTCAACCCGGACCACCAAGAATGGCAGATTCGAGCAGCACTCATTCTAACTCACCGGGACTCGAAATGTACTGTGTGCACGGCATGAGTAACAATACAATGCAAATCATGTTGCGAAGAGCTAGTCATCTTAAGAAGTCATATGATAAGCTTCCGTAAAAGTGCTGTGAAATGATACTTTCTAGAATACTGGAAGCAAGAAACCGCCGCATGATGAACCACAACCAGCAACTGCAAAAAAAAAAGAGAGATTACATGCTACCCACTGCAGAGACTCTAATTGTTTCTCACCTCACCACGGGGATCTCGGTTATGTGACTGCGGTCAAGATAGTGTGGCGAAGTTAAATCGAGCTATCATGTTCGTCTGGAATGACTTCACTGTGTCTCTATCCTTCAGGGTTCTGCGACCCTGCACCCTCCAGGCATTGTGCGCATATGCCTTTCAACGCCTCGTGTTTTCGGCGCATCTCTTCCTTTCGCCGTCGCAATCTTCCGATACCTGACGAACGCATGACTGCAAACGTCTACCAGTGAGAACTGAAAAAAAATAAGTGATTTCCCATCAAACGTCATAACACGGCTTTAAGAAAGCCCTCGTCGAGACGCGGGTTCCATACATGTTCCACCAAGGCTTCCTTTCGAAATTGCGTACTTTTTCGTGGGGAAATACCGAATCGCAACTGCGCTGGACATGCATATCTGTAAGGGTTATCGAGAGCACCTGTTCTTCGTTCGAAACAACACTTCTTGAATGCCCGCAGCAGAATGAAAGAGATCTTTTTTCCGTCGGGAATACAAAGGCTCCAGAATATATAAAAAGCATTTCAATGCCTCACGTATGAGCGTATCTGCCGTTCAGTTTTTTTCCTCGAGGGCGTCAATATAACCAAGAAAAAGTTCTTTAGCAAATGAAAGCTGCATGGAAGCTTTCCGCTAAACTGGGCATCGCCCTCGAAGCCAAAGCCTCACGTTCAATGAGACAGCGATAAAGCCGGATCGCCATCACGATTTGGAGCGGCCACTTGCTCATTTAACCGCCAGTGTGGGGTGGATGCACGATCCCAACGGATTGTTCTACGATAACGAAACATCAACCTACCATACGTATTTCCGATACCAGCCCAACGACACTGTGGCAGGTCTACCGTTGTTTTGAGGACACGCCTCGTCTGACAATTTGATAACTTGGCAGCACTACGATATTGCACTCGAGCCACGGGATGACTATTCCGGTGCGTTTTCGGGATCCATGGTGGTGGACCACAATAACACCTCGGGTTTTTTCAACGACTCGACTCTACCGGGCCAAAGAGTGGTCGCTTTTTACACTGAACACAGCAATGTGAGCGAAAGCCAATTTGCAGCATACTCCCTCGACGGCGGGTATAGCTTCAAATACTACGAGCATAACCCTGTGCTTGACATCAACTCCACCGAGTTCAGAGACCCCAAGGTCTTCTGGCACGACGAGACCGAGCGCTGTATTAGGATCCTGGTGTTGTCGCAGGAACATAAGATCCAGATCTACTGTTCCGAAAATCTGACTTCGTGGGAATTCCAATCCAACTTCTTCTACCACGGTGTTCCTGGCTTCCAATATGAATGCCCAGGTCTTGCGAAGATACCGGTCATTCACGAAAGCCCATCCAACGTTACTCTGCACGGCATGAACTCCACCACTAACGCCACTGCCCATAACAATGCCAGCTCAGTGGACAACAAATGGGTCATGTTCCTAAGTATAAATCCCGGCGCTCTTACGGGCGGTTCATTCAATGAATATTTCATTGGTGATTTCGACGGTAAAACTTTCACTGCTCAGGACGCAGCGACTCGTGTCTTGGACCATGGGAAGGAATTTTATGCATTCCAGACCTGTTCTGACACTCCCAACGACGACTTGTTAGGCATTGCTTGGGCTTCCAACTGGGACTATGGCTTTTATGTGCCAGCTGATGACTACAGAGGATCAATTTCCCTGGTCCTTAACCTCACATTGCGGCCTTATAATCCTAATTCAGAGACTACTGAGTTCACGTTGTGCAGCGAGCCTCTCGTCAATTATTCACAGCTGCACACCAACCAGTCAATGCATAAAACCTCTTAGAAGCTGAACTCTGAAGAGTCCAAGATTAACCATTTGAATAAGTACTCCGAGGGTCTACTCGAGTTTTCTGTTGAGTGGAAGGTGAACGCAAGCGCCATCACCTCGAACCACGAATTCGCTGATATGTCTCTGTACTTCAGGGGTGTTGAAGATGATGACGAGTTTCTGAGATTGGGTTACGCACAAAATGCGGCTGCCTTTTTCCTCGACAGAGGAAACACTGAAGTTGATTTCGTTAACGAAAATCCTTTATTTAACAACAGAGTTTCCCAAAACATCGAAACATTTAGATTTGCTGAAGACGGCCTTCCTATCTTCAAGGTTCGGGGTTTCATTGACAGAAATATCATTGAGTTGTTTTTCAACGATGGCTCTTCCACTTCAACAAATCTCTTCTTCCTAACAGAGGGCAATTACCTAAGCTCTGTGGAAATCTCAAGCGGGGTTGACGACGTCTTCACTGTTCTAGACTTTGAAGTGAAACAACTGAGTCTCAAAGAATGATGGTCGTGAGTGAACCATGCTATCCTTGTAAGACTTATTTGCCGATTCGATCTGTCCGCGACAGTACTCAGCATAGTTGGAGTCCGCTCGAGCAATATATAGAATTCCACAACTGTATGCACTTCTGACCATTAGATGATGTGAGTTTTTAGACTCCAGTGGAGTCCTTTACTAATGGCGGTTGAATCGGGTACCTGGGTAACGTGCACCTGATGTGTAGTTGAATATTTAAAGTCTTCGTCAGAAGAAATCGCTTTCAGAACAATCATTATTGAATGTGGCATTATAGGCCACGTCTAGGTTTTCTAACGAGTCCTAGCTCTCTGCTTCGTCAAAAACTTATAATGAAGGGTTACTTAGATGGCAGTTGCAACAATTACCTCCTTGGAGATTCTTTGTGCCTTAGAATATGGTTCGAGGCTTCAAACACTGAAACAAGGTCATTGAAGAAAAGCTTGCAGGCAGCTCCGAGTTTTTTGAAGATAGAAACCTTGCGCTCGGTGCATGTGTCGGATCTTTGGCCATTTAGAGCGTTTATTCGCATGATGTTTTACTGTTTGAAAAGTAAAAGTGCTAGCAAAGTGGCAGCAAAGTAGCTTTTCTTGCCCGCAACCATGAACCGGTATTCTGCAAAGACACTTTTCTCACCTCAGTAAGAAATTTCGACCAGCAGCCACTAAAAGTGAACATTTGCTAAAAGAAAGAAAAGAGTCTGTCTCTCCAACCACGTCGACTTCAGATATGAGTCGATATCTCCTGTAAGGCCAAGAGGATCCAAGGCTTTATGTCAATATCGGTTGGTCAGCTCCTATAATGAATAATCAAAGCTCGACCCCTCATATCCAAGGAAAACCCAAACTGACATAATTTAGCGAAATATCGTTTATGAGCATACAATCCCTAGGCACGTAATCTGATTAAAACGTTCCTTACTAGGCAATCGAAACTTTGAATCTTTTGTCCCCGGTGTCTGTAGATCAATCGGATGTGACTATGATTTTACTCGGAATGCTTTTCTTAAGTGTCCGCCTTGCTCACCCAGCTTCCGCGGCAAAGACGCGATCAAATTGAAGCATCAATTCGAATTCTTTGTGGCTCTGCGTCTCAATTTAATTTTTTGCCCCGTTTCAATAAGCCTTATTGAACATACCTTTAACCTAGAGCCCTGGATACTAATATGCTTAATGGAATAACGAGATTGGGAACACACTCCTTCAAACATTTATTACACGCACGACAGAGAGTAGCAGCTAATCTCAATTCATCGAAAAGTGGTCAAAATGCGACGGTACCTTGGCAGATGAATGACACAGCAAAGTGCTTTGAGGAAATGCTCGGGAATTATTTCGGACGCAGTTCAACCGATTGGAAAACCATGTCCAATTGCTTCGCCGCAGAATGAGCCGAACCGAGTAGGTTTTTCTAAAGACTCAATTCCCAAGTATCATCAAAATAATCAACGCCCATATTCCATCTAGGCCTGTCCGAAAACTGTTTTTGATCCACCCAAAGTCGAAAAAAATTGAGTCCCTTGCATCTTGAAAAATAAGAAAACAAAAAAGCAAAAGGCTTGGCTAATTGGCTGGAGTCACGAACCGGGGTTCAAGTTGATTTAGGCTTCAAGTTTGTATTTTTTTTCCCTTGATTTCGCTGCTAGCTGTTGGAAAGTGAGACTGCATCTGAAGCTTTTTCTTGACTATTGCACATCCATATTATGCCCAAGGAATCTGTGTTCTTGGTACCATTTGTGAGCCTCGAACTTATGGCTACTGTGGCCAGACTATGCCAGTTTTGACCACTCTTCCCTGCCATTCAACTAGTATGGTTTCTGGCCTGTAATGCTATATTTCACCACATTCGTAATTAATTGACCATTGATCACTATTTTACCATGCGTCTTTCTCTGATTGGTATCGAGTTTCTCCAGTTCGTGAGCCAGTGGATGGGTCAAAACTTGTGTGCGAGAAGCCTTTGTCACTGTTTAGATAATTCTCTTATGGTTGTTATGGTACATAAATTTCACGGCAAAATATTCGGCTTTGCAGGTGTCAGTAGCAGGAAGACTTACGTTAATGGCTTCCGCTAAAAACAGGCAAAAATGTTGAAGTCACCAGGGCCTATTGTAGCAAGACATTTATATGCAAGCAATCTGATGAACGTTGGGTGCTTTCGGGAATCCACGAATGTTTTTTTGCCTTCGGCTAGTAAGAATGCAGCTGGTTGATTTGATTCTGAATTAGATTTAAATTTCGCTGGCAAGGTTGACAAAGGAACCGAGGGTGTATTTTCTCAACATATGTCTATTCTTTGAAACCAGGTGGGAAATTCGTCTAATTCTCTAATTATATACTGTTTGTAGACATGCTCTCGGGTTGTGGAAAGTAAACAATGTCTCTTCATTTTTTGGCTGGTAGCATTACATTAATATACAGTCATTACTTTGGATCACTGCTGTTATAGTAGTTAAGCCATTCGTAGAACGATCAGACAAGTTAGGGGTTTAACAAGATGGTTTTGTTTCTGAGGCTACGGCGAGAAATCATCGGGTGACAAAAGTTGTTCGACACACATCTCGCATCGATATCGAACTACGATATCTTCGCATATCACGAGCAGCCGCTATTCTAAGTATATATCGCTATAAGTCTATTGGAAAAACCAGAAAGTTCAGTATGGACGTGGCGTCTGCTTACCACCAGAGCTCTTACAGAATCGCGACTTCCACTGTTGCATAGAATAATGTGTGAGTTAAATGTATCTATCATAAGTTTATAAGACCAGAAATCTGGAAAGCGCAAGCTGGATGCTTAGTCCTTGTTGATATCCAGTGAGAATCTATCAAATCAAAGCTAGAGGAAGCGCTAGAAGCAACCCAATGCTTAATTTGTCTGCAACACCTTCATAGGTAGAAACTGAGACAGTAGCGCTCGTTTGAGCTGCAGATGTAGAGCTAGAATTTGGAGAAAGAGTGGTCTTGGCTCCAGCGCTAGTAGCATCTGTTTTACCGCTATTGTTCCCAGAGGTAGTGTCCTGCACGCTTGAAGTAGTTGGATTAACGGGCTCTGATTGAGTGCTTGAGGTAACTGGAGCACCTGGGGTTCCTGGAGCACCTGGAGCACCTGGAGTGTTTGGAGCACCTGGGGTTCCTGGAGCACCTGGAGTGTTTGGAGCACCTGGGGTTCCTGGAGCACCTGGAGTGTTTGGAGCACCTGGAGTACCTGGAGCACCTGGAGCACCTGGAGTACCTGGAGTACCTGGAGCACCTGGAGTTCCTGGAGCACCTGGAGTGTTTGGAGCACCTGGAGCACCTGGAGCACCTGGAGTTCCTGGAGCACCTGGAGTGTTTGGAGCACCTGGAGTACCTGGAGCACCTGTAGTGTTTGGAGCACCTGGAGTGTTTGGAGCACCTGGAGTACCTGGAGCACCTGGAGTACCTGGAGTACCTGGAGCACCTGGAGTTCCTGGAGCACCTGGAGTGTTTGGAGCACCTGGAGCACCTGGAGCACCTGGAGTACCTGGAGTACCTGGAGCACCTGGAGTGTTTGGAGCACCTGGAGTTCCTGAGGTACCTGGAGCACCTGGAGTGTTAGAGGTACCTGGCACGCTAGGGATCGAATTTTGAGAGGAAGTGCTCAAGCTTGTTCCTGTTGGAACAACAGTTGTGAAACCAGTCACCGTGTTCTTCTCCGTCACGACGACAGTGGAGCCAATTTGTGATGGATACGTAGAAGGAGCAGCCCCAGAAGATTCAAGCTTGCTTTCGGTGTGCGTTGTCACAGCAGATTCAGAATGAGCAGAGCTCTCCTTCACTGATGAGAAATGAGATACAGTTGACGCACTGGTGAGAGGTACGGGGGTTGTACCCGATGGGCTTGAAGATAACCTGTGAGAGGAAGTGTTCTGGTAGTAGCCGCCGGTTGGGGTCTCAACATAGTAGACTGTCGAGGTGGTTGGAATACCATCAGATCCAGTCACGGTAGTTTCACCAGTCGAGAAGGTCGAGGTGAAAGATCCAGTCCATGGGGTGTACACAGTAGAGGCGCCAGTTGGGGTCTCCACATAGTAGACAGTAGAGGTCGTTGGAATACCATCAGATCCAGTCACGGTGGTTTCACCAGTCGAGAAAGTCGAGGTGAAAGATCCAGTCCATGGGGTGTACACAGTAGAGGCGCCAGTTGGTGTTTCAACGTAGTAAATGGTTGACGTGGTTGGGATGCCATCAGATCCAGTCACAGTAGTTTCCACCAGTCGTAAGAAAAGTAGACGTGAAAAGATCCGAGCCATGGGGTGACACAGNGAAGCGCGTTGGGTCTCACGTAGTAGACTGTCGAGGTTGTTGGAATTACCCATCAGATCCAGTCACGGTGGTTTCACCAGTCCGAGAAACGTAGAGGTGAAAGATCCAGTCCATGGTGTGTATGTGGTGGAAGCCTTAGCAGGTGTCTCGACGTAGTAGAACGTCTTAGGAGTTGGCTTGCCGTCAGATCCAGTCACGGTAGTTTCACCAGTCGAGAAGGTCGAGGTGACAGATCCAGTCCATGGGGTGTAAATAGTCGAGGCGCCAGTTGGGGTCTCGACGTAGTACACAGTAGAGGTCGTTGGAATACCGTCAGATCCAGTCACAGTAGTTTCACCAGTCGAGAAAGTAGAGGTGAAAGATCCGGTCCATGGAGTGTACACAGTCGAGGCGCCAGTTGGGGTCTCCACGTAGTAGACTGTCGAGGTTGTTGGAATACCATCAGATCCAGTCACAGTGGTCTCGCCAGTCGAGAAAGTCGACGTGAAAGATCCAGTCCATGGGGTGTACACAGTAGAGGCGCCAGTTGGTGTTTCAACGTAGTAGATGGTTGACGTGGTTGGAATACCGTCAGATCCAGTCACAGTAGTTTCACCAGTCGAGAAGGTCGACGTGAAGGTACCAGTCCATGGGGTGTACGTAGTGGACACTTTAGATGGGGTCTCAACGTAGTATACAGTAGAGGTCGTTGGAATACCATCAG